ATCAGTAGTTCAAAGGCTCCACTAAAATTTAAATACAAGAAGGAACTGTACCTGAATATGAAAATCTTAATATTGTTTTCGTCACTTTGGAGACCTGGCATGTTTTGTGATATGCTTAACAACTGATACAGTATCTTATCAACAGAGACATTCAGACTTCAGGACAAGAAAAAAGGTCCAACATACTTCTAATTGGTAGCATTTGCATTCTTAATTTTATGTATTGTTTCTTAGAAACTTCACCTGTAAATCAAAGTCATTTTAATAACTTAAAATAACTTACTTAAGTTTCTAAGTCCTTAAAACAGTATAGATGCTTACTCTATCCAAACAAAATGAAGCAGCACAATCACTTAAATCACTTTAAACCAAAGACTACCTGGTACCTATTACCGTATTTTGAAATTTGTGCCATTAAGGTGAAAAAGAAGACATAAGAAAAGATGTGAACAGAATTCCAGGACTGCAAACGGTATCTTAATAAAATGTAATGTCTTGTGGGTCAAGTATGCAATTTTCAATTGCTTATAATTCTGAAAACTTTCAGTGGATCTCCCAGCTCCCAAACCTACACACATCCACCTCCTATTACACGTAGTTATGCTTTCAGACTTTAATTAGGATTTTTCAATAGGTTAATAGTGTTAAATAGGATTTTTCATGTTTCAGCCTTGTGCTGGATTTTAGATTATGTAAGAATAAGATGAGATGAGTGAAGAAATTAAATAAAGATTGATTTGCATTCTTAGAAACAACCTTCATGTTTATGTGTATATACAAACATATACACACATGCATACATTATATATATGAAATATATGCTTTATAAATATGAATTATAATTAATATTTTATATATATTATTTCCAGACTGATCCAATGCTACTTATTGATGCTACCTTAATGTACAGTGAGGATTAATTTGTTATTATTATGCATATAGCTTGTTTTTTATTGAAGAAACAGAAAACTATCCTTCAAAAATTTTATTAACCTTCCTCTTTTAAATCCCTTTGATTCTCACTCAGATTGTTATTACTGTCATGGCACTCAACCTCTAGCTATGCATATTCCTCAGAAGGGAATGTATATGACTTCCCTATGAGCCAATAAAACCAGTGGGATGGTTATCTGGGTAATACTGCCAGCACTTCCCACAGGACAGCATGTAAGTCAGTATGCTAAGTCTACCCAGGAGCATGGAGTAAGATTCAAAAGTCTATCTTGTAACATGGGAGTCCCACATTCCAGTGTAGCACACTGTTGGAAGCCATTGAGTCAACTAATTAAAGACAATTTTATAGGCAGTCTATTTGTTACCCTTACCCCGCACACATAGAAAATAGCCTAAAGGGAGCAGTGGTTCTCTCTAGCTTAAAAAAATCCTCTTTTGTCATACAGCTTAAAATGTAACTCATGTGTTTACATGGATATGCTGTAACAAAGCTCTGATTTCAGTAACATTACTACTGATTAGCAGTATTTTTTGAAAGTAAAAGATGGAAAGTATTAGTGCAGCAAGACCAAAAACAATTCCTAGAAGAAAAGATGACCTAAATAGATGAACAGTAAATGATAAAAGACACCTGATGGATTTTATCTAATACTATCATGAGAAACAGCCTCTTGGATGTAACTTTGTTTTCTCCTATTTCTTAATTCAGTCTTCAGCAGTATATTACTACATTTCTGTAACGAGCCCTTCTGAGATATGCCATTTTGTAGATTATTTCATTAGCAATACCCTCAATAACTGATGAAACAACATATCATGACTAACTGTAAGAATCGGTCATGGATTTTCTGATATACCATTCCACAAATAGAAACACTTTTCCATAAAAAACAAACTGCTCATAGGAACACATTGATTTAAAATGAAAAACATTTTAAAATGAAAAATATTCAGGTTAAAGTCAAAATGCATTTTCAGAATAAGTATTCTCGTTTAAGAATAACATTCAAAACTTATTTTAATATCTATGAACTTGAAAGCCAAAAGAAATCTATACTCCCACACTTTAAAAATTTCTGCTTTGTGATAAGGAGCAAATGTTGTCATTCCATTAAAAGAACTTTTAAATGAAGCTTTGTATACCTAAGAAAATTCTGTTCAATTTTAGATGTAACACATTGCTGGAGTGCTTTGCTGGAGTGCGTGCAAATTTAAGGTACAATACTAAAGAAATATTAACTTTTTGTTATCTTCTTTTACCGTATCATGCAATAGTTAAATCAATAGAAAATCTAGAAACATTAATGGGTATCAAGGATTTTTTAGCAGAAGACTAATGTTAACCAACACAATTAGGAAGTCATGATTATTGCCACCATTGTAAGGCAAAAAGAAAGCTAAAATATGATCATGTGGCCATCATCTCTTTTCAGAGATCTAAAGCTGTGTTTTTCAATCTCACTAGTATTTTCCTTTATTCCTGCATCATTCTCTTCTGCATAAAGTTTAATAGTTCATTTCATCCCACCTTAAAAATGAGCTAATGAGGATGATGAGTAATTCTCACCTTCAAATTCCACTGCCAGCTGTGCACCTCTGGCTTTTTGTCTTGACACCTACATCTGTATTTCTTCCTAAGTAGAAGGAACTACCAAATAACTTTCAATTTTCAGAGTCAAAACCTTGCCCTGACTCAACTAGTTTCTAATAGCACTTCTCCCACACTAAACAATACCATGCATGTTGTGCTGATGTGGGTTTTATTTTCACCTTAGTTACGAGTAGGTGTGAAATATTGCCATGTATATTCACAGCCTATTCAGGAAATTTCCCCGTTTAGTTTTTGTACTTCACGACACTTGAAACAAAATATTCTAATTTTTTCAACTACCAAGATAGTAGTTGTCATTCAGTGTAATGTCCAACAAGAATTTCTAGCAACCCTAAATTGTAATGTGTTGAACTCCTCTCCTTCAGTAAGCTCCTCTATACTCCAGAAGTTAGAACATTCCTATGTTTGATTTCCCCACTCCTATGTTTGATTGTTTTGTTTGATTTGAGTGGGGTTTAATCCTGTGAGAACTAATTTTTCAGTTGCTCATCACTCACCTTAAAAATAGTCTTAGCCCTGTCTTACCGCATTACCTATCAGTAATGGTCTCACTCAGATTCAGATCCAGAGAAGCAGAGCCTGTAAAAACCAGTCTAAGATGCATGTTCCATTACTACTTCAGTAAACCAGTTTTCATCTCTAGATGCTGGGTGAATAAGCCTCCTATTCATTCTACCGTAGTACCTCAAGTCAGGACTTTTACAGAAATGGTCAATCCAGAAATTAGAATTAAAACGCTATTTCATTCTACCCCAATTAATCAAGAGAATTTATCATTATCATTCTATACCAAGCAGGCTAGATGATTTGATCTTTTATCATCAGGGAAAACTTCTGAAAGCTGTCAAAATGATCTTTTCCAGTGAGCCACACTGTTCATCCCTCTAAAGGCAACAAAAACCTTCATCAGTTTCCCATAATCAGCTTCCACAAATCATGTCCAGCCTCCCTGAAGAGCCTACTTTACATTACCTGGATTAAGGCTGAATTAGCTATAAGCCCTAGTTCCAATGCCTTCACAAACTCCTCCACTCAGTGGTACTAAGCCTTCTGCCCATTTCTGCCGGGTAACAAGCTGAAGTTCCTGTTGAGACTTTTAGATTGTCCATAAAGTGGTGAAGGAATATTTGGCTTTGCTGGTGTTATTTCTGCCAGCTTAGTATGGCTACCTTCTGTTTTAATACCAACGAACCGAAGTACATGTCTTATTCACACTGCATGGTTTTTATTAATTAAAAAAAAAAAACACCTCTTTTCAAACAGCCAGTGCCATCCTTTTGGATGCTTACACTCTCCACCACACACCACAGACTTAATATTTCAGAGTACTTCCACGTTACATTACAGCATCTCAACAGTTTTCTGTAACGTTGGCTCAGTTTTTATTCTGACTACAATACAGTTCTTTCTAAAAGTAGTACTCCTAGGTTTCTCTTCAGTCTCACTCTTCTTCCCTCCCCTTCATGAGTTATTCAGTCTTCTTCCCAAATTCTTCAGTGGGGAAAAGCCCTTGAAAATACAGTTTGCAGTTTCTGCCCGTTCCAGTAAATCCCTAGATCACTGATTTAGGAAAGCTAGAACGACATCAGACATTTTTTTCTCACACTTTTTCCTAAACCATTCAATACTGGCCATCATCAACTAAAAAGGTACTTAAGGGCTAGAAGGACATTTCATCCAATTCCGTAATGGAAGTTTTATGTTATGTCTTATGCTTGACCAATGAAGAGGCTCTCGAACTCACTGCAGTTTTCGAGTCATCTGCTAACCATGAACGTTCCGTAAGTCTCCTTTTTCCCAAAAGAGTTTCTCTCTTTTGCATCAGCATTACATAACCTATCATACTTCTTTGTAATGCCTATATGACATTCCACCAGCAAAAACAGATGTATATGTGTCTTCTTCTTCAAAGATATTCATGCTACATACATTACAAAATGCTGCAAGAGATTATTCCTAGTGTCAGGTATATTGCATTTACCAATTTGCTAAAAGACCTAACAGACATGTGCACATATTTTGCCTATGTCAGACACTTGCAGACCTTCTCTCCCCATTTATCACTGCTGAGAATTGCCTTCTATAGTCAGAAACTGCATAGTGATGGTCTGAAGAAAATAAGACTCTTTATAAGTAACACAAGTATCAAAGTCATCACACAGACTAAGGCAGAGAGAAAAATACTATACTGATTCATTCATCCTTTTTAAATTAATTCATTATTCATTTTGATTTTGTAAGACATAAAGTGACCTAGCTTGGATTTTTAAGTATTCTTCCCTCATCCTGCATCAGAATGAGCACAGTTCCCAAACCTGGGCAGGTTTCTGTTGGTTATAGTTGATCTACCTCTAAGCAAACAGATACACTAGCAAAGAATCACTTATCTGTGTAATGGATGGAAGGTGTTGCTGAAAAACTACATATCACAGTTTCAATAAACGGCATTCTTCCTATCATTAGGAATTGGTGAGGTGACAACAGCTGGTATTAAGAAGTTCACCATCAGCTGAATTAGGAATGGAACATTATTTACTCAGTTTGGAACCATAACACTGTTGGGTTACCTAAAGTCGTAATTATTACAAGATGTTAATGCATATATGTACTCCTCAAATACACTGCTGAGTTTCTTCATTGAAAATTCATTTTTGGCATAAGAGATCACAAGAAATCACTCCAAAGTTATTGGGCTTAACAGAAGGAAAAAAAAAAAGAAATGGAAATGTCATTTAAAAAAAGTAGGGACAGTGACTTAGCATTTGGCCAAACCAGTCAATTTAGTCTCAGAACTGTGAAGTTATGCTGCGTTTCTTCCAAGTGAGATGTAAAAAGAATTAAAAAAAAAAAAAACATTCTGTCGTTGTCAATCAGGGCAGACAGACAGGGACCTGGGACAGTACAGAATTTCATCTGCATATCCCTGCATTTATTGCAATTGAATTCCCTTTCTATTCAACCTCTAACACAAATAGGTTCTTAACTCCCTGGTTATCTATTTTTATGTGCAATCATAATGAAAGCTAATTTGTATATACTAAGCAAGCCTCCTAATTATGTCACATTTTAAAAATTTTACTAGGTACCACTATCTAGATACAATGAATTCTACAAGTTAATAGTACAACTCCTGAAAAGTCTTTTATATCTTTCACCAATCTCTTGAATTTTCAGAAAACTTCTTTGTATCGTTTTTCGTTATGAATATTTCCAAAGACTCCTTGACAAATGAGGACCTACAAAAGAAACCTAATTTTACTCCTTTCTCTACGTATGTGGAAAATAGAGAAGATGCATGATAATACTCTATAGCTAAAATTTTACAGGGAAGAGAACCACAGATAAAACACTACTATAACCACTACAATTCATACTCAGAAAATGAACTTATTAAAAAAATACAGCCTAGAAGCTGGGAGGAGCCAATCACTCAAAACCCTGTCACCTCGTAGTTGTCAACAACCACTTGCTTGATGTCAGTCAATAATCAGTAACAAGCCACACACTTTTGTTTTATTTAAATGATTTTTCCAAATGATTTTATCAAAATGCTTGCTATTGCAGCAATTCCAATGAAGAAGAAGAATATGCAATACAATGCATTGCAGTGCAGTATGCACTGCAATACACAGGGAAGGGAGCAATTTTACCCCTCACTGGGGTAAAGAATTTCTAGCTACCAGACAAAAATAGTGGATGACACTCAGAATGAAAAAGAGAAATTTGCTACCTGGAGGAAATGAAACAATACTTATTTAGACTACAAGGAATGGCCAGCCTATCTTTCAGATAGGAAAAGGAAGAAAAATTAATTTGGGGAAAAAAATTAAATGCCCTGTAGAATCTGAAAGGGAAAATTATAGTTGTAAAAGCTAAATGCACAATGACGGGCTTTCTAATGGAGGCACTTTCACACAAAAGGGCTCTCTAAAAGGTTAAGCAGGGAGAGTAAGATATGGACAAAGACAGAAACAGCTTACCATGAATATTTTCCTGTCAGAAAAGGAGTGTAAACGAAAAGGATGCAGGGAGGGAGAGAAAGAGAGACCTTTCTGATTTAATAGAGGTACATCTGATGCATTTTTTTCTCAGTTTTTTTACACATTTGCAAATGGATTAGTGGGATTTCCTGGTTGCTGTGAATAAATGCTTTTATCTGCATTTTCCACAAAGACAATGAGGAACGACATTAAAATAACTAGGTAATAACATGGTAAATATTCAAAGGGTGATAGTGTGTGCCTCCATTTCAGCTGCAGGTCTAGAGAGAGAGATGGCATCATAGAGACAAAAATGTGTTCCAGTAAAAACTAAAACATGCTCTCTGGCACGCAGTAAAAAATTTGTACTAACATTAATTTAATAAAGAAGTACTGTTACCGATAACTCAGTAGGTATGTAAGCTAGATGGGAGGAGAGACTAGACAGCATGAAGCAGGAAACTTTAGGAAAAACAACTCTTGATGTTCTAGAGAAGGAGGTAAGAAAGGTTCCGCACTGAATTATTCTTAGAGTGATTCTAAAGTTTAGCTGAACATGAGCAAGTCCATATACTGGCAAGTATTTTTGACCTCAGAATTAATTTAACAGAATCATGAAGCAAAATATGGTATTTTGAAAGGACTGGTTTCTCTGTAAAAAATAAAAAAGTACTAATTTCTCTTTTGAAAAAACAAATGTTTTATGGTTGTTTTGTCCTTTTCTTTCATATTCTAGGCAATATAGATTTTGTGAAAACAAACAAAACAAGCATGCAACAGTCTGATAAACCTTACCCTCAGCTACGTACCTTTGAGGCAAAATAAAAATTAGTCTAAAAGTTTTCTACCACTAGTATGAAAGGAGAGTTCAGTTTTGACACCATTTTTTATCCATTTTGCATCTCTTTGCACAATTGAAAACAACTGCATGGGGAAGAGTTAAGAATATTGACATGTTTACACAAATTTCGTGACTATATTCTCTGTTCCCAAAGTGTTTGTAATTTCAGCATTGCACAAAAGCCCTGAATATTACAGACAATTAAGTGACTAGTATAACTTATTTCAGCTATTCTAAGCTATTTGAGGAAAGTATATAATGTCCATGAAAGTAAAGAACACAAGACCAAAATTTAGTATTTAAATTATTTTTAACAGACCTACAAATGCAAAAATATTAACTTAAGAATGAGCCCCCAATCAAAGGACAAATATGTTAATATGGCCATTTTCTCACAAAAATAAAGAAAAATTAAACACAAGGAAGTAAGCATTTTACCATTTTCTTAGGAAAAACATTTAAATATGAAAATAATGCAGAGAACAACTTAGAGAATTATAGTGCATCTGATTTCTCTGAACATTTTGTGGTTATACCTACAGTGTGTTTCATACTTCTATGTCAAAAGACTGATTCCTCAGTTACATCCACACAGACAATGGCTCCCATTTGCCTGGTATCAACTGTAGCATCTGAGATCCAGACGGGGTCCTTCTACAGGGTAGCCCTTGACAGTTCAGAAATGGCTTTATCTACAAGTCCCAAGTTTGACTGCCACACTACTAAGACTGAACCCGATGAACACTATTCTAGTAAGGAAGTGATTTAAAAAAAATGGGAACTTATTGATGCTCTGAGATTTTGTTACTGAATAGTTAGTCAAAAGGATGATTAATGAGAATAAAAGTTTTTCAAGTTAGCAGGGGAGATTTCTTTTCCTCCCCAGAGGTATACACAAATCAAAGTTAAAGAAAACATAGAAGATAAAGTATGCAATAACCTCAAACATTAACAGAAAATTGAAACGGCAAAAGCAAATGAACATTTTCATAATTTTCCTAAAACCATTTCTTTATTCACAGAAATACAAAATACTACCACAGAAAAACAGCAACTTATTTCAATGGCAGTATTATTTTGCATACTGACAAGAAGATATTACGTATGTTAAACTTTTGATAAAACTGTGCATCTGAAAAGAACCAGAACTAACCAGTTGGTATATGTCTTACATAAAAAAAACCCCTAGTATTCTGGTAATACTCACCTCCAAATCTTTCAAATTTTTCTTTCTAGTCTGTAGTAACTCTCCATATGTTTTTTCTTCCTGCTTTAATCTTTTTTCATATTCTGCTAGCTCATCCTGGAGACGATCAAACACTATCTGAACATTTTGCTGCTTAAACATCACAGCACTTAAATTTTTCCTTTGAAAGAAAAAAATTTCCATTATTTAATCAAGATATTCTGCTATACTTTTTTTAAACCTTTAATAATACATAAAATAGAATCTTCTCTCATATAATGAAACCCTTTTAAAAAGAACAAAGAATTATATGACAGAGCTCATCATGAATGTCTAGACCACTTAAAAGACACTCTGCTTATCCAATGAGCCTACTGAGATGCATAACTCTCACCAACTTTCAAGAATGGCTTCCATTCTGAAAGCACCTTTCTAGCGGACAGACTGTTTCACTCCCACGTGCAGAGTATCTGCTTAAACTATAATATCTGAGATACAGAATAAGCTCTGGATCAGTGACATATTGGGCAACTAATACTTTAATATTTATTGAGATGGGAAATGTGAGATTTATATGCCATTAGTATAATATTTATTTCATGTCTCTTGTCTATATCTAGTATGGTTTCTTTAAACTGCACATTTGAAATATGTAAAATTAAGCAATTTTCAGAGGTTTATAGTTTGTACTAACATTATGTTCTCTCAGGGTCTGTATTTCAGTTACTTTTAGACAAGAGTATACTAAAGTATTTCTAACACTGCTTTTCTGCAAGACAAACTAAATTAGACCCTTGTAGGTAATTTAAGAATTGATCGTGTAATAAATAATAATAATAATAATAATAATAATAATAATAATAATGATGATGATGATGATGTGCACATGCAAGAGGAAACAAGAGAATTTACACTACTGTCCCTCCTTGGGTAATAAATCACAGCATCTAAGGTTTCCTCTGAATTAGTGTCTCCAAAAACCTCTCAGAGAGGCTAACTTAAGGAATTCTTGGGAAATTACCTAAAGTTCCCTTTCACAGGAACACCCTTCCAGCCTTCCTTGTCTCCAGCACATCCCCTTAACTTGCCTCCTGCCTGCATTTCCCTTTTGCTCGGCACCAGCCTCCTATATGGGAACTGGTGTGTATAAATGGTAAGGGTTCCAATAGAGTATGCTCCTCACACAAACCTACAGTTCACAGGTCATCTTTGTAATTTAATTAACAGTAAAATCCAGCGGGATAAAAAGAATGGAGTGAATGGACTTTACATTCATTCTTAACTTAAGACACAAACATATGTCTTTAGGTCTTCTAAGAGTAAAAAAACCCAGCTTTTCCAATTCCATTTGTACAAGGCTACTTTCATGTGCTTCTGCGTGGGATTCTTGTGGCATATGATTTTCCCTCAGTTAGCAGGTTAGGCTAAATTTTGCAGAAGCCTCTTCAGTTTTACCACCAATTTTATTGTGGGGAAAAAAAAGGATTTATTTTAAGCTATTATTATTTTGATAATACTGTGCCAATATTTCTATTTTCTAATATAAGCCAATATTTAGTCTTCTTTATTGAATTACAGGCAAGCAATAGTAAGTCCAAGAGATATTATTCTTCAAAGATAGTAGCAAGGAAATTAGAAAAGGACAACAGTTAAGACTGAAAGCAGAAGTAGGAACTCTTGTATCTCAGTTTCTCCACCAAAACAGGCTAGACTTTGCCTGACACCGCATAAGAAAAATGGAAATAACAGCCAAGAGCAGAAGTAGAAACAGGTAGTCCTTCATTCACAGTTTTTCTACTAAGGCAGGCAGGGATCCTCATGCTTAACAAAAGCAGAAGCATCAGTTCAAACATATCAGTACATTTAACATTGAACTACTATGTATATTACACAAAATATAACAGGAATAACCAAAATCAGTGGGATTTTTGCATAGTTTTTTTTTTTTTAAACTTTACAGCTCCTTCTACCAGATGGGATCTGTGAGAAGCAGATTTTCAAGAAAAATACAAAGTTTTCATTACTGTCTATTTTAGGACTAGAAAATGGGGAATTCGCTAAAGAATTCCAATTTGAAAGAGAGCTGAACTTCACAGCTATTTAGAAACAGCAAATTGTTGGAGGAAAATAATCTTTCAGTACCACTTTTTATTTATCTTATCCCTTCCTTCTGTAAGTCTGAATATAGTGTTTCCCTGGAATGAAACTACTGACTTTGAAGTGGTTTTCAGTCATGGAAAGATGCCTTCCGTTCTTGAAGGTCAGTAAGTTCAGCTGAACACTGGGTCCCTCTGAATCATTCTCTTTGAATCAAGAGTTGAAAAAAAGAACATCCAGTCCCATGCAGCTGGCTTAAAAATTTACATAGAGAATGGTTTTGTTTTGTTTTTCCCAATCAAGAATTTAATGGAATAGTCTCTCAAAGATCTTGTAACACCAACAACACATAAGTGAATGAGACCACAGATGGGGAGCTGTAATATGATGACGCAAGGTTCTTTTTTTCACAGTTTACCCATCCTGTACAATTCAACAATATAAGCTGTTTTCTCTTTGACATTGCACAGCAGGTTCACCTTTATCCTTGAAGAGTAAGCATGCTGTGCAATCAGCATATATGGCCCTCCAAGGCTTGCATGGCCTAGAAGGCAGCCTGCATTTCCAGTTGGATAGAGCCCTTTGAGACTATTTTCAGGACTCATCAGTCACAGTAAGGGTAGGTCCACATTTCTTAAACCAGAGAAAACACAGAATGTGAGGAATCCTCCATTAATTAAGGATGCAACTGACCATGAATATTATTAGATTTCCAGAAGTAATTCTGATGCCTGGAATTCCATTTGCTAGGCAGACAATTTATCATGGATGACTTCTACAGATGCATTAAAACTGCAAACAATCATCATACAAAAATATCTTCAAATCATTGAGGAAAATTGCATTATATTTCCTAGAAATAATACTGCAAAAGTAGTAACATTAAACTGTCCTTAAAAATTAATATAAGAGGTAGCTCTCACCCCAAATCAATGAAAGATTTTTCGGTATTTTCCATCTGCATTTCCTTCATGTTCCATAATGCATTTAACTCTTTAAGTTCATTTTTAAAATTTTCAGTAGTATGAAAGTTTTCAGCAATTTGACTGGAAACAACTGAATATTTTTCCTGGAAATTAAAAAATACATAGCATGTATAGAAGGTAGGGCCAGATTTCCAGATATTAAATTTTAAGCACATGATTATAGGCAACAATGCATGAAATTGTATACCCAAAGAAACAGAACTGCTTGCAGAGGGGCAGTTGAAGCACTTAGTGCAACTGGAATAATCGTATTTCTTTAAGAGCACAATTTCAAATGTCCCAATTATAGTTCCCCAACTTGCTGCACAGACCTTCTACTATATATCCATAAATTTTATTATGGCATTTGCATTTTTGCAATTGCGTGTGTATATGTATGCATGTTTGTATGCCTTCATAAAACACATATCTTTTATTTCTCTTCTCACATATAAAAGTTTTCAAACAACAGCTTGCACAGCAAAAACTTTATTAGTGACAGCGAAAGATAACAATTTTCACAAATGACCCAGGTCTGGGCCAATTTATTTCAGTGTAGGCAGAGTCAGTGATTTAATTGGCATCTTTTGTTACTAGAACATCAAAATACTTACATGATTTAATAGTGTTTCAGGCAAACACTTAAAAATCTTGACTTTTGGAAAAGTCAGTATTTTCAGATGCCACTGGCTGCATGCAGCATTTGGCTTACTCATTATCTCTGAAAGTTGGTATTATTCATTTAGTTGCCAAATAGGGATTTTTCCTCTCTTAGCTGGCAAGTTTTTCATAACATAGTTGCCCTGCACCAGAGATAGTGGAGAATTAAAGCACGCAGTACAAGACTTCTGAACTCCTGTCCATTTTTCTCATCTACAAGTACTCTACCTTTCAAAGAGATGCTGATGTCAAGCCTTTGAAAAAACTCTCAGTTAAAAAAAATTGTTTTCCCTAAACTCCATGTTCTATAATATTAGATTGCAAGGTCTTTTTCTTTAAAAAAGTGGCTGACAGTCACAGGGCCAAGAAAATGTAAAGATTCATTACACAAGCACACACAGTTTTCAATAGCAACAGTATTTAATAAACAAAACTGTAGCTTCTCCAAAATGAAAGAGGTAAACACAAAGCACTGTATAAGCAGAATAGTAATAAGTAAGCAGGTGGGAGTCTACTACGGGCTAATATTTTTAAAGTGGTCTTGTTGCATGTAGGAAAAATTAAATCTTACAATCCATACTAATGGGCTGTACACAGCTATGTAAATGGGCTAAATTGAGAGGGAGGAAAATACCTTCTGATTCTCTTTATACACACACACTCATATATATAATGTAAATATGCACACATGTATCAACACTGAATTTCAAGATCTCACATTTCAGGAGACAAAGAATGTGTCAGTGTGCTTACATGAAGATCACAATTTAAAAAAATTCTTCTTAGGTACTGTCCCATTATTGCTCAAGTGGGAGCCTGATGCATAGTCTTATTTTTTTTTCGCTTAGGAAAAAAAATGCTTCTTAGAGGCATATCTAAAAGGTAGCTGAAAAATCCAGGAATCAATATTTTTGTAACAGACACGAGCAAAGAGATGTTACAATGTGCATGGTGCCACAAGCACATGACACTTAAGGCCTCTATCTGAATTTTATAAAGTGTAATATATTTCTGTATAGGATTAGACGGAAAATTCAGGTTTCCAGCAGGAACACAGAAACATTAAAAGGCAAATGAAGATATGGTAATTAATGCAAATCCCTAGGCAACTGAACTGCCTATAGAGAGTCTCAAACCTCTGAGGAAAAATCATATCAGCTTTAGACTTAGTTCCAGGAGAACCTGGAGAAATGTGACAGCCTGTGACATACAGGATATCACAGAAGATGGTCTGTCCTGGCCTTAAACTTTATGAAAGAGTGAAATCTGAGATGCTTGAGACGTCAGGGCCAAATTATATCAATATGTTCAGAAAGAAGTCATGACCTGTTTTTTTCCCAAAGAATGGCAGGTTCACATATGAGTTTCTTTACAACAAAACCACCAATGCAAAAAAGAACTTTGTCTCTCTGACTTCCTGTATTTGCTTCGGGACTTTATAATTGAGAAGGCAGATTAAAAAACTGAGAAGGCTGGTTTCCAAGGATAGGGAACACTAGCCATTGAGTCAGTGAAATCTGGTACACATTATAGAAGACTTTGTACTCAGGTTTTAAAACAAACAAACAAACAAAAATGCTCAGATAGTCTACATTCCCTGATCCAAATATTGGCAGGACTGAATAGCCTCATGGCTTGCTGCAGTGCAAAACAGCCAATGTCCTACCTGGCCTAAAAGAGTTCCTTGAGATTGGGTCATTACCTAATGAACAGTATTTTTCATTCTTCTCGGCTGCTGAACAAGACTATGAATGCTTTACAGAATAGAATTCACCTGCTCTTATCTAGGTATTTAGTTTTCAGACACTTAAATGCCAGCAAGCCAAACTAAGTTACTTCAGATTCAGTGGTGGGAAGCAGAAGCCTCCAGAGGGTGGTGATTCATCTTGTCCTAAAATAGATAAACTATGAAAGATTGGGTGAATCGCTTGATCAGTTGGATGCTGGATTCTCTATGTTATTTCTGTACTAAGAACACTGTAGAATCATAGCCATTTCCTCTGTAAGATCATTTAAGATACACATTGGACAAGCTTTAAACAAGTTATTTGGTCATAAGAAGCCTAGATTTCCTATGACCATGTGTGCTTTTTCCTGTCACTTCCAATCTAATTAATCCCAGCGTCATCCCGTGTTCCCAGTGCCAAAGCGTCTTTGCCTCGGAGTCAATCCACTCCCACCTCATCTAATATACCTTATCTCTTTGTCTGAGCAAATAGATTGGAACTACATGAATGCTGGCTGCCCAGAGAGTAAGTGGCACTGCATTGGCACTGTCAAAAATAAGACAGCACCTTTTATAAAGGTATAAAACCTCAACTGGTTCCTCTACAAAGCTGCAAGATACTGTATCAGACCCTAAGAACGTAACTTTTAAGCTATTCAAGTATTGTTACTAGATCTGTTCTCTAGAGATCTCATAAAATAGACATTGTTTTATTCCACTTACCCAAAACAATCCTCCACTAACTCAAATACTGCTCACGTAACTAATGGACAGAGCTATTTACACAGTTAGTAGGAAACACTCTCTTAAAAATATGTATATATAAAAGAAAAAAAATGGCCTGAAAAATAGTGTAGAGTTACTGAATATCCGTATGCCGACTCATCAGTCACGTCCACATGTTCTAAGATCTTTTGGTAAACTAACAGTTTGGCAGAACTCAATTACTAACAGAAAAGGACATAAAAACTCTGTCTTCCCTGCTAAATTTAGAAACTTGAGAGAATCAACGAATTTTCCAACCCTTAATTTAAGATTCTGTCTTATATATAGGAAGGTAAAGTCTCGCAGTTTTTCCGCACAAGCTACCACCTATTCTGAGCTACGTGAAAGCTTTTCCTCTGTATGACTCATCTTTGATACTGTAATGAATAACTTAAGTTTATACAATATAAAATTAAAGGATAATAAAAATGAACAGAATCTCAAAAACAAAACACTTGTTTCTTATAATGCTTATAACCATATTTTTATAAAGCATAGTATTCAGTAATGAAATTCAAATAATTCCCTTTGGTGGACTAAAGAGTTTAGTAACTAATACAGCAGATATAAGACATCATTTACAAAAAGATGCCATCTGCTGAGCAAACATGCAATCAGCAGGCACTTTCTGTTATACTAGAATCTTTTTCTTCCTTTATTGATTTTCTCCATTGCATTTCAAAAGCCCCTCAAGCAATCTGAGCCAGTGTGGCACATGAAGAAAGCAAAGGACTTCTCAATGACCCCAATATCAATTTTGCTTTGTACTTTACCCTGTCTCAAGGCTATGGACCTGATAACTTAGTTCAAGCAAGAGACAGAAAATAGTACATACACTGTATGTATGCATATACATCCAAAGCAACCGTGTAGAAATGACAGCCTAACCTTTGAAACTAAATGTACTTCAAATACAGCCATACACACACTAAATTATTCACCTGTATATCATTTAATTGCTGCTGCACAACAGTGCTTCTTTGCTCCAGTTGTTGTTCTGTTTGCTTCTGCTGTTTATCTAGCTCTTGTACCCTCTGATCCAAGTACAAGAGTTTCTGGAAAATATAAGCAAAAACAGATGTATGAGTATCCAAAAGTTATTGTCCTACTTTCTACAGAAATCAGAAAATATATTAGCTGTTAAATAATTCTTCTAAGAGTTACCATTCATAAGCTTACTTTTGTTTCCCCTTACATACCTATTATTCTATCAACACTATATTAATTTCTATATGTATATACTCTACACTTTGAATGACAAAATGCAATATTTCAAAGTAGGAAATATCTTTGCTGCTTCTTATAGTATTTATTGTCTTACAGCAAAATATCATTACTTTTTATTCTCACTATATTTCTTTATTTATTACTTGACAAAAAGAAAGTAAAGTTCTGTATTCAAAATATATATTTGGAATAGCTTCCATGGGAGTTGTAAAAAGGATAAAAGAAATGCTTATGATTTATGATCATGAAATCATAAGAAGTTACAAGTAAGGACAACTAATCAGAGGATGGAAGAAGAAAGAAAATAAAATATTGGGATATCACATTTTTATATTCTTCATTAATCCATTCTATTATTAACTAGCACATCAAGAGAAATAGGAGTTCTTTTCTATTTTATTAAAACCACCTGCATCACTAGTGTGAGCACCAAATATTAAAGGATAGAAATTATTATTAATGCAAATAATAAGTAAAACTTTAAATTACTATATATATTTTATATGAATTAAAAAATAGTCATGTTATTTAAGCTTTTAAATTCCATTCATGACATAAAACAAAGAACATTAAAATAGGTAATAATATTTCTATTCTGAAAGAATAATTTAAACCTTTAACCAATAAGAAACTTCTTCCTTGAAATTACCAACACCTTTCACACATCATTCACATACAAATCTGCCTGTGCAAACTCTGCTTCCAAGCTTTTAAAACAGAAGCAAGTACACAGCCATAGACGATGATATATAGCTTACACCACACCTCTTTAGGTTTCCTGGAGACTAACGATGTGATCTTTGTCACATTGTTTCTACTTAGTTTTAGTTGGGGAAGGGCTAGCAACATTAGTCACTGCCATTAACGCGTTGTTTTGAAAATACTATTAGCTATTAGAAGATTTTTTTTTAAATTCAATTTGACTTAGTAAACCTGCATCGAAAATAAACTATCATATAATTCACTATCTGAACTGAAACGATTCAACATCCTCCATCTCTCCTCCAAAAATGGCAAAGTATTGCTACAAAAGACTCTGCAAATATTCCTTCAGATTGAATAAAAATAAAAATAAAGAACTGTAGAAGAAGATCTCCAGTTACAAGCTATTTAGTAGTAATCAGACAAGCCTATAGGCTGGTTCTGCAACAAAAACTTCACATAGGCAAGGAGAAGCAGCAAAAATTCTTGTACCTAGGCACTGGTCTGAAAATCAAAATTTCTGTATCTAAATTGAATAGGTTCAAAAAACGTTGATCTCATTTGATTGTGAGAATGTAATATAACAAATATATGGCTTACGGAAAACTCCTATCCTTAGTTTTGGATAAAATCAGCAATAGATAGATAGTTTTGTTTCCTTTTCATTTTGAAACAAAAAGAAGGCATTTTCTTTTTCTTTTCTGGCAGTAAGGTCCATTGGGAGTGCCCACCTCTTTCACACAGTTAAGAAATAATTACTTCTTTCACATTCTTTACTTTATTTCCAATTCCGTGTCCCAAGACATCTATTTCCTTTGCCAAAAAAGTGAAGCTTCAAATACCTCCTCTAGATTGTAGAACTGCTTAAATCACAGTGAACAATGCACGCCTCTGCCCACTTACTCATAAAATGTGAAAGCCATAAACTGTTGCAATCATGACAGAAGACTCAGACCTATTCCCCAAAAGAAGAGAAGGAATAAGCATGCAAAAGGAGTACGCAAAAAGGAAAAAGCAAAGGTATGGAAATACTTTTAATTTAAAAAAATCACTGAATAAATTGCCTTTCGAACAGTTCTGCAAAAGAAATACTGAATGGTTTCGTCTGAGGGTTTTTCTGAAATATAATGTACAGCCATTATGTTCGGTCCTAACTTAGGGTTCAGCATTTGAATATTTCCATGTCATTTTAGAAAAGAAAGAACCGTTTCTACAGATTTTGGTTGAGGTGGCAGGTGGATACGAAACTATCTGCGTTGCTTAGGTAAGCGACTGTCTATTTAACTTTGGTCTCATATTTGTAGGACAGCTAGTGAACTGAGCCACTTACTATTCAGTTAGCTCAGGTATTTTTCAAAAGCATCCATCATCGTCATACCCTGGCTGCAAATACAGTAGCTGATTTAGATAATAATGTCCACTGTACACCCCGTTATCTATTATCACTGTTGCAGCACTCCTTTTTATAATCAACACTTTGAAAGACCTCCAAGATCATCAGATCTAAAAGAGAGAGATAAGTCAAAAAAAGAAGGTATGCTTCTCAGCCATGTAACTTTATTTTGCATTTCTGTTATTCTTTTTGAGCAGGACTAGACAAAAGGTTACTTCTCTGAAAATTTTTCTGAGGTTAACACCATACGCATACCCTGAAAATATGAGAGAATAGGCTACTAGGTCATCATTAGACAACTGGAGGAAAACGGCTATTTGGTCATCCTTTCAAGATGATAGAGGGCCCAGCCAAAACATGTCAGATTATGACAGCAGAAAAGGCTCTGTTAGAAGCAAAAGGAATGTAGCCCCTGGGAGAGAATGGTATATTTAACTAAAATATCTCAAGTAGGTTGAGGACCTATTTTCAAGATAAAGATCTTTTTTTTTCTCTTATTACACACATCAGACCTTTCACAAGAGGAAGGAAAAATTTTTGATCATTATTACCCATAAACCAGGAAAGAGAAGAGAGTTCCGGGCCTGTAATTACACTCTTCCATTGTTTGCTCTCTCCATCTTACAACTAAGCAAAGAGGTACAGATGAAACATAAGCAAATACTGCATGTTCTTTCCTTTTGTAAGAAAATAGTTCACAGAGAAGTTAAGAGATAGAAAGATCTGTCCAATAAGGAAAGCAAGACACTTCAAAACTAAGGCTGGTACCATGTTTTACATTACAGTAAAATTTTTAACTTTCATTGAAAATGTGGGCAATACAAAATATAGTATCACAACACAACTACACAGCTAAATTCTGAGCTATGAGTTTCTGTTCTGGTTTTTTTTTTTTTAAGTAACATCCAGCACATACACTAGTGAATGGTCTAGAATCTACCACTTCTACCTCATGGTTTTCTTTAAAAATATCTTTGTTTCTTCTAAATTTTGTTTCTAGATCAGCTACTGGTCTCTCAGTCTCTTCTATTGTCTTCATATCTTCTTCTCTTTTCTTCAGTCTCTCTTTTCGTTTTTCCTCTAGCTCACCATATATTGCTTTAATCTTGGCCTGTTTTTTAAAAGTATATATAGAATTAGTGTTAGCAACTGTGTTCTTGAGGATGTGCAGGTCTCACATACATTTGCATTTCCTAATATACTAATCCACCATCACTTTAACTCACATAATTATTTATCTCTCTAGCACAGAGTAGATACACAATATACACAATGTCTGATATATGAGCACATAAAGTGGAGCGCACCTGCCACCATTTTATTTCCTCTCAGTTGTAGAAGCAGAGTGAAATAAGTCAAGAAGAAAGAGAACAAGAAATGAACATACATGTGACTTACTCTTTTCTAAGTATTGTGCTAGGTAGTAAATAACTCCTTTTTCAAGTTTCAGATGATAGTCTATAAACACATTCATCCTTACTGGGAGTGTTTGACCTAGCAAATGCAGCATAATTTCTGAATTCCTTTATAATGGAGCAATATGTGGTGAAGTTATGGATAAAGTTCCAGGTGACAACACAGTTGGTAGCAGGAATAGACAAGATTCCCAGAAAAATTAGACCAGTACTTGTCAGTCCCTGGTGGTTTACAGTCAGATGGCATTAGGAGGTTCCCTTTGGCTATGTCAGAACAGACCCTTATCTAAACTGCTAGGCACTTTGACAGTAACTAGTTAGCGATAGCTTAGTTCTTAGACTTTTCAACAGCCTTTGACATCGGTAAGTTTTGTCCTATTAGTAGAACAGAACTCTCTTGACAGCAAAGTTATGAAGACCGTATAACCCGGAGAAACGAAGCTTTAGAAGGAAAAAGGAAAAAACAGTTTTAATTCAAATAGAATTTCAAAACCACCTTAGAAGTGTAGGATGCATGCCAAGAACTGAAAACACATGACAATGAAACCAATATCCTGAAAATATATGGCAGTTTTGAGCACCAAATTTACATCCCATTAGGGAATTGTTCTTCTGTTTCCATCTGTAGATCAAAAGTAGTGGGCTAAAAATTGCCACTGAGTGATCTTCGCTAAAATCCAGAGAAAGAAAGATTTCTAGTTTCAATGAATGATCTAAATGACCAGTACCACTACCAAGGCCCAAAAAAGGCCTGCTATGGCATGGCATAGCCATGCTATGGCAGTCAGGCCTAGACACACTTCCTTCAGCCTTCTCTGATACAAAGCCTGAAACCAGAGGGAAGGTGTCCATGCATCACAAATGCATGTGACAGAGATCTTGTGTGCCACCTGGCTTAGAAGAGGAACATTCAATACTCTCTACTAATATCTGAGAAAAACAGGGACTACAAGTTCACTTACAAGGCTTATCTTTCTAAAAGTGGGAGATACAGGTACTGGATTCCAGGTACTGGATTCTGCTATTCAGCTCTTGCACAGTTCAAAATCAAAGAATGGATGATCATAACAGAAGCAAGACAGAGATTGTGAAAGAAGCAAATATAAGAGCACAGAACATCAGAACAGTGACAACATGAGAGTGATGATAAGGAGGAGGGAGTGAAAGAGCTGAACAATGATAATGGTGAGAGTGGGAGGGTCAGCACTGGGAATATTCTTCCCTCATGGGAAGAAAGAGTTGAATCTAAATGGCATTCACCTATCAGCTACAAAAAGGCTCTCAGGATGGGTTATATACTGGTATCTGCATCACAGGAGATCTTCCTCAGTATCAGAGGAAACTTGGACAAGAAGAAAGTGTGTATTTGTACTATTTAACTAGTATCAAGTTGCATCTAAGAGAAAGGGTGGGTTTTTTATTTTTACTTCTTGCACAAGGAACCTGATTCAGTCAGTGTAAACTAGCTTAAGGGTTGCCATTATCACCGTACCGCACCTCCACACAGGACATGCAAAGAGACTGAAAAACCCAGCAACACTGGCAACACCTGGAAATCCAGTATTTGCCTTTGCCTTCATCTTGTGTGCAGGAACCAACAAGGGCAAAGATAGTACCAACATCCAGTTCAACAGTCACAGATTCTGCCAGGCCTACTGTATCAGGAAGGTCTTTGTGTTCCTGGATTGAAACTTTAAAGGAAAATTTGTCTTTGATCATCTGGCATCATAGGGAAACAAGGAATGATCTCTGAGAGATTGCTGCTCAGATTACTATAATAGTTCTATTATATAGTATTATAGTAATATATATTATAGCCTGCTTTAAGGCCTCCTATCTCTTCCTGGTAAGATCGAATACAGAGATTATGGACTTCTTCAGAAATAATTCCTGGAGTTTCTGTTTCCTCTCAGCATCTTGCTTGAAGCTGTAAGACGTTGCAGTTATTACAGCAGTTTAGATATGAACATTATCTATGCTCTTGGAAGAGGCAGCCAATGGAAACCATCTGCCAAAAGATGGAAACAGATGGAATACTCCTTTCGGTGATGCTGAAAAATATCAACATTTCTCTGAGGACGGCTGGAAAACATCAATGAAGTACAGGACAAAAGAACTACACTGTTGATCTACAAAAGGAATATTAGATCATCTTGTGTAAATTTGACAGTTTACACCAGGAGAAAGTAAACTGGTGTTAGGCTCACCCTACTTTACATACTCATGTGTCAATACAAAGTACGGCAAGGATCCCAATGCACCCTCTACAGAAACTGTGAAGTAAAGAAAAAAATCAACAAATTAGAATGATAGTATCACTGCATAAATTAATTATTACTTAAGGTAAAAAATGTAAACTATTGTGAATAACTGGAATACAGCTAAAGCATTTAATGTTTTCCTAAATATTTAAATAGTCCTAGTTCAAACAGCAAACATCATTACTTAGCAAAACCCCATTGGCTCTCCATGTGAGTTGGTCACAAAGTACAAAGAATTCACTGTAGGAAGTGCAAATTATGCAGAAGAAGAATTTAGATTTCAAGTAAATTGTTTACTGTCATGTCTACCTGAGTCATTTTCCAAATTCCTTTTTGGTCTTGAATTTCTTTTTTAATATTCACCTCCAAACGCTTAAAAAAAAAAGAGAGAGAGAGATGTAATGCATAAGAAACAAATTCATGGACAACAGCAATGACAATTTAACACTAACATTGCAGTAAGGATAAGCACAGCTCTTAAAGTTTGTCTCAAGTATCATAAAACTATATTAAAGAAGGAAATTATAATAGAGACAGGCACAAGAATAAAGATATAGAATAAATCATAAGAAATATAGAATAAATCATAAGAAAAGCAATGCTTTCTAAATGAATAAATATAAAATTATGCAATTTATTTTTAGTAACTTAAGATAATTAAAAACACGAAAGAGCTGAGCTGGCTTACCTAAACAGATAATGAATAGCAAATGTTCAAAACTAAAAAAAAATCTCAGGGTCTTCTACGCCTTCTTTTATATGATGGGACTTTTTTGTAATTTTTAATAAAAATCACAACCTGTTCTATGCCTTTCTTATGTGAGTCTCTTACAGATCATGAAAACTATACTTGATTAGAATCTAAGACAAACCCCAATAAAGGCTTTTTGGTTTTTTTTTAAGTAAATTTAGGGATAGGAAAATTAATTACTTAACCAAAAGTAAGCATGACATGACTAACAGTAAAGTAAGAAACACAGAATCAAACAATATTGTTATGGAAATGCATTTCTTCAGAATGTTTTATTCACATCCACATCTGCACTGTGGAAGTACGTATGCCATTAGCACTTGAAGAGCAAAGTTCTGCATAAGGCAGCCGCAAGCATCTTCCAGATTCCACATACAGAAGAAGATACAAAAACAGGTATCAAACAATCCCACTTATTCTCAACCCTGAATCTCAAAGATTAACAGGAAATTCAAGGAAATAGAAAATAAGAGAGGAAGATCAGTGTTCATGTGGAAAACACATTCAAGGAAGACCTGTAGCCAATGAGTCACAGCCTTTTTCCAAATGGAAGACCATATATTCGCTCCATGAATAACTCTGAGCAACAACTTGTGCCTATGCCCGCCCTTCCCTCACCTCCTTGCTCACATATACACATAAGCTATCCGAATCTAAATCTCCATGTCTGTTAGATATATTATGGCATCTAGACTACGCTCCAAAGTGCAGCATCATTTTGAATGACTAATGATAATGTTTGGTGAAGGTGTGAGCATATTTTTATTCAATACCCCAAGGGGACAGGATAACTGGTGGTTACAGACAGATACTTATTAGAATCACCAGGGGGTGATCACTCTAACAGCATATCAGCACAGATCAGGTGGTCAACTATAAATTGTACCTTTATTTATATGAGCATATTCAAAATTCAGTACCATTCAACGGTTGCTTAGGCTAATATGTGCACTCTATTCATACTTAGTGAGCAACTTTTACCTTGCAGTCAGCTCTTGTATTTGGCCACTTTCGCTGAGCACGTCTTCATGTGCATATGTATACTTTAGAACATTATAAGCACAATGCTGCTAAGTTATGCTAACTAAGGCCTAGGCATATTAATATTAACTTAAAGCTGTTGACAGAATGGTCATTCAACAATTGCAAGGGATGGAGGTATTCATTAACAAGAGCACTGAAACAACTTGAGTGATGTTGGAAAGAAATCTTTATCATTGGAGGCAAGTTCACAAGCAATGGCTCAGAGCAGAAATTAAGTAGTGTCAACAAGTAAGAAATTCCATCACTGACAGTAAAAATATAGCTTTGAGACATATTTTTGGCTATTTACCCAGGATATTAATGCTATGACTTGTGAAAGAAGATTAAGGAACAACAAAATCCACAAGGTAACACCATATTCAAATTCAAAAATGGATTTTATATCAAAATGAGGAATTTATTAAAAACTCTAAGACACAGAGCTAAAAGAGTAAAATATTTGCAAGACAGACAGATTATTGAGAGATATCATCCTAGATACTCAAAGCAAATGCACACCAAGTTTTGACCAGCAGTTTGGAAACATCATAAAGAATTAAACAGAAGGAAGGCTATGAGCAGCAAGACAATATCCTCCAGAAAGCTGAAATTATGTCCAAAGGAAGGAAAAAGTAGAAAACTCTGAACACTGCTTGGTTAATTGCAAAAATATCGGTAGGAGAGCTAAACAAGAATTTTCTGAAAAACCTGCAAAGGACACAATAATTAGTAACAAATTCTTTTCCGAACACATCTGAGCAGGAAGCCTCCTAGCGACAATGTAAGGCCAGCAGATGATCAGAAGCATTCAGCATGTGATAGCAGAAAAAGAAAAGAAAAGAAAAAAGAAATCCCAATCACCCAAACAAATAAATCCCCCAAACCCCAACAAAAAAACTGGTAATATGAATTATTCTGAAAAACAGAACCGACACATGAAAGATCTGATGAGGAATCAGCATGACTGGGAAACAGTGCCTCAAAATTCATTAGTTTTCTGAAGGATTTAACAAGCATGTTAACAGGGGAGATCTTGGTGAGACAGTCTGCTTGGACTTCTAAATGGTATTTGATAAGGTATCATATGAAGAACTTCAAAATAAATTAACTTCCCATGAGTTAAGCAGAAAAGTCCTCACAGGAATAAATAATGCATTTAAAGATAGATGATCTGGAGTAGGAATAAATTATGAGTTTTCACAGTGGCAGAGCCACAGTGGAGTCCTGCGTGCATCTGAGTTGGATACTATGGTTTTCAATTAATTCATAAACAATATAGGAAAAGAGGTATTTTGTGGGATAACTTAGCATAATCAGATAGATTTCTTATTTAGGGTAATAATGACTAAGTCAACTGGAAAGAGGCGGTAAGGTATCCTAAATGAAAGGTAGACAAAACAGTAGACAAATTTCAGTGAAGGTAAATGCTTGGACATAGGATAAAGTCTTCACCGTATTTACACAACGCTGGGCTCTGAGCTGACTAGTATCAAACAAGAACAAGATTTTGAAGTTAAAACAGATAGTTCCAAGACAATGGGAAGACAATGCTCTGTAGCATTTAAAAGTATAAACGTAGTGTTAAAAATTTTTAGAAAAGGAATAGAGAACAAAACAGAAATCATCACGATACCACCATATATGTCCATGGTATGCCTGTATATTGAGTATGCTATGCAGTTCTAGTACTCCTCTCTCTTTCCCCATAAAAGAATAACAGAACTGGAAAAGGTACTGGGCAACTAGAATGAAAAGAGACATGGAACAGCTTTCTTTCATGAAATAAGCGAATAGATCAGGACTCTTCAGCCTTAGAAAGAGAAAGAATATGATGAAAGTCTATAAAATCACGTGTGACCTATGGCAAGTGAATATGGAATGACTGACCAATGTATGTCGGAATATAAGAACTAGGGGTATTAATGAAATTATATGGTAAGCAGAAAATTAAAAAAACAATAATTCTTCACACAACACATGACTAAGCCATTGAAGCCCTTTTCACAGAATGCTGTGGATGTTAAAAACTAATATGAGATCAAAAGGGAACTGGAAAATTCATGGAAGAAAATCTCAAGAAGTCTAAAAATTTTTTAATAGTTAAAGGGAAAATATCAAGCTAAGAAAAAAATAGTATGTAGGATAGCAAATAAGCAGGGGCTTTGACACAATCCCTTCTCAATCGTAATTTCTTAGAGTAATTTTTAGCATCCCTTGAATACTTGATTCATAAGAACGTCCATTCATGTGAATATTTCAGAATACAACACTGAGAACATGGAAAAATTGGTGTTTAGCAAATGCATATGCACAGAAAACAGAAAATTCTTACAAAGTTAGTATTAAAACATACGGCTATAAAACAGCATAGCATACCAAGAAGACAATTTATAGGACAAAACTATATACTGCGCAAATTCAGATCTTGCCAAGAATATAAACTTGATCCAAAAAAAAGGAATCTTGGCACTATTAAAGGCCTTAAAAACACAAAATTCACTCACATTCATTCTGAAAACAGCTGCAAAGTTCGCCAGCCCTTGTTTTATTACTTTTTACCTTGGCTCTATACGCCTTTTAACTGGCTCTGTTTTAAATTACATCCTCCAGGGTTTTTGTTTGTTTGTTTGGGGTTTTTTTAGAAACAGTCTGGTACTTTGGTGTACTTGTATGCTAAACCAAATGCATTCCAAAAAATGCATTTGGCTTTACTTTGGCAAGCAGGTAGGTGAAGAGGAAAACAGACACAATACCAAGTGCCTAATGCACCAATGCATATTATAAAGAGGAAAATACACTCAATTCTTAATTTTAATGATTATGGATTAGGAAATCCTAAAAATATTACAGAAAACGAAACTGTGAGAGTCCCTCCTTCAAGGCAATCTAGACCTTACATATAGTAGAAGAACACTAATGACAAGTACACAAAATACTTTCTATATCTTTTTGAAAAAAAAAAATTTCACCCTTGAAAATTCCCAGTATTACTTTCTTTTTCTCTGTATTTCTGAATGCTGAATCTTACACCTTAGAATAGCACTGATCCCACAAAGCCGCATGCATATGTTCAAAATTATTTACTAATTATTATGTAAAGTAAGAAAACATAAAAAACACATGTAATTCTTCACAGCCATTGCAAAGCCACTACATAAGGATGACTTTCAATAACAATTCTTGGTAGCTAGTGACATCCACCAATAAGGAAACAATTATTCTAATGTGGCATTTCATTTGCAATGGCTACATTTAGTATCAAGTAAAGCTGTACTGATTTACAGATTCTTCTAATCATTTAGTTATATAAAGAATGAGATTGGCTTTTTTTCTATACATTTCATATTATCTAGGAATCACAAAAAATTTGTGGGGTTGAGAACATCTGTCAACTGTAATCTTCAGCCTCTCATTACTTGTGGCCATTTAGTAACCAATTTATTTTATCCTCCAGATGCTACTGTTTTGTTATTTTTTGAGTGTTTTAAAACACCTGGTGAAAAATCAGAAGCTGTGCATTATTATTTTCCCGATATTAGATGGCTTGTCCAATAATTTTCTGATACGAAAGGCATTATTTTCTATTTTTCCACTCTAAAAATGATTTTAAATAAAAAATATACAACCTTGTAGTGGATTTTTTCACTGGTTATTTTTTTTTGCAAGTCCTCATACTTTGTTCTTTTTTCACTATAAGAGAATTCAATGTTATAGAGATCTTTATTTACACTTTTTACTTGCTCCTCTATCTTCTGAATGCTTCTGCAGACAGTTTTTATTTCTGATTGATATGTCTTCTTTTTTCTTGAGCTGTTGAAATCAAATAAAGTGATATTATTTCACATTATTTGTTTATAAAGTATATGAGCTAAAATAAAAAGAAACTTTACTGAATAAGTAAATCTAAAATATTTTAAATCAAAATCCAAAGCAGTATTTTATCATTCTGTTGATTTGATGCTGAATACACCATGCTCTTCCTCAAAACTTACAACTCTCTTTATTCATAAGTATATGCCCTGATAGTTCACTGATATCAAACTATTACATATGTCAAATTTTTGTCCTCTATATCTATATTATTAACCTGTAATATAATGGTATCATTTTTGGATGAGGAGAAAGTGACAGTTAACAGCCCTTGTGTCTGAAAATGTCAAAACTGCCCAGTTCATCTATCTTATAATATATGAATATATGACCACGTCTGAGGTATGGAGTACTTCATACTAGTGCAGTGCTGCAGGTTAGTTATGCAGCTGATGAATTCAAATCCCTAAATATTTTCCTATTTGCAGAATTCTTATGCAACATAACACAATTTTACTTCAGTTTATATAGAAATAAGAAAAAAAAATCAGTAGAAGTGAACTGTTTGACAGAAGTGAACTTAAAAATTAGGTTAGACCATCAGACCACACAGTAGAGAACAAACAAATAAAAAACTCTGCACAGGTAAACACTGATAGTCTTTTGACGGACTGAATATAACCTCTGTGTTATTAAAACTTAATGATCTCCAACCAAATGTTTCTTTGTAGAAGAATGAGATCACTGAAAAATAAACTGATACTACTACTGAGGGCATCTACTGAATGAGAATGATAAAACTAAAAAGTACTCTAAGGATCTTCATAGGCCACACACATTGTTTCTCATACTTAAATCTGCAGACCCTGCACTGACCACTTAGTGGTCCTTAGTTGAATTAGAAGCTAGAATGTTTCTCTCAAAGATAACCTCCTTTAATATAGGGTGTCATTTACTTAGTTAAAAGAAGAAAACATAAATTACCTTACAAAATACAAAGCTTACTGCAGGAGAACTAAACTTCATAGATCATTTCATCCACACACACACACATATTCCACTTTCAGTGCATGTGAACGGCTGGTTCCTAAATACACAGTTTACAGTCAGCAGTACCTTGAAAATACTCTGTAAACATTTTTTCATTTTGTAAGGGAGTGCGGGCCCACATCAACTTAATTTCCCTTCCTAAAATCCAAGCAACACAGAAGTGCAAAGTAAGAAAACAGAGAACATTTTCTCTATGCATCTTGATTAACTATATTTACAATATGACATGTATGTAGCATGTATTACAACTGTCCTTCTTCTGTTAAAAGACTGTCTACATCCAGTCAATTTACTGTTACTCTCAAAGCAGTTGACCAATGTGATGAAGACAGAAATTCACAGTCCTAAGAGAACTGAGACAGCAGTATGATCGTTCCAAAATGCAAAATATGACCTAGAAGCTTTAGCAATGTCAAACACATGTGAGACCCTGTGTTTAGAGCCAGAAGTGACTGCTTTACATAAATTTGTAAGAGATGTTTTTCAGAGATATTGCAGAAGCTGCAACAGCCCTAACAGACCGAAGTGAAATAGGAGGTACTACTGCCTATACCCTACATTTGCTACTTGATAAAAGTCCTGCATAGTCAGCTATTGATTTAGACAGCTCTTAAAAACAAAGGGTTACTACCCCTATTTTCAGCTGCTGAGACAAAAAAAAATCTTAGCAATCTTGGCATAGATCAAAAAGATCTTGTTCCTCGTAAATTAAAACTCTGGAGATGACCAAGTCCGACCGCATGGACAAAAGTCTCCCACCACACAAGCACATTAGGAAAAAACAGAGCTGAGAGTATGCAAGCAAGTGGCCCAAATTATCCTTAGATGATAATGAGAAAGAACAACAGGGTCTTTCTGTTTGAAGGGAGGCAAAAGCAGAAGTACTCTGGTCCTTCCAAGGCTAGGACAATTCAGTTAGGAGATATCACATTAGAGAGTAGTAACACTTCTATTCTTCAGACTTTCCTAGGTCTGCCTGTATCACATACACTGACTACACTTCCCTGCACACCCGCTGGGTCAGCAACGAGACAGAAGCCAACAGTACCACTGTGAGTGGTGCCAGGTGCTGTGACATAACCATGATTTTATGAGATTTATAACTACAAGTAGACCACGAGTTATAGACAAACTGATGAAGGAGGTCAAGAGGCTGATGCTGTAAAGGGTCAATGACAAAGAATGTATGAAGCTACAGTATGTAATGTATACAGTATGTAATGAGGCCAAAGAGTAAATAGAAGTGATCAGAAATAACTACAGCACTCACTCACATATGAGGGGTTCAAGGCAATTCTTTGACTACTAGATGAAACTTCAGCTGTAAATCTGTCCCTGGACAAACCTTTTTTAATAATGGTTTCTGGTCAGTTCTTACAGATTCTGAAGAGCATAGTCTCTGATAATACTGATTTGAACTATTCAGATCATAACCAGATCACGTTCAAAACAGAAAATTTTCGTACAATGGTCTTGGGACCTAATTCTGAAATGGTTTTCATTAACTGTTCCATCAGAGATAGGTGCCTTAATTTTGCAAATTACCTGGAGAAACTAAAATGTGTTCTCTAATACTGACAAAATGGCACTGGGCAATTAACTACTTGCTTTGTCCAGAGAAGTTCTGGAATAGCCATCCCTGAAAATCCTAAAAAAAAATAAAATAAAACATAAAATAATCTGATCTTTTCTTAAAACAGGTGTAAGCATAGCTAATCCTGCTTTGGGCAAGATCATGACTAAATGGCTTCAGAAATCCCTTTAAAAACATCTACGATTATAAAAAGAATTAAATATCAAAACACCAAAAGCAAGCCAGCAATTCATCCGAACAGTAGAGAGAAAGCAGACCGGTGCTGAAGCTGGAAAGAAATGAAAGGAACCAAACAACAGGTATTCCACTTTGATTTCCTACACCTTTCCTGTGGAGTAAAATTGTTTCGATGCACGCAAGGCCACAGATGATTCTGCAGGCCAAAGCACTTTAAGTATGGATGCAAGAAAGCAGAAAAGCAAATTGACTATAGCATAAAGAACTATGGTTCTGCAGTGTGTGTGTTCCATACTCCACTCTTTACATATAGATGCTTAAAATTCTGACATAGCTTCTGCAGCTTACTCAGGAACTCTACCCCTCTTTGAAAGGCATGAAGAATTTTTGATTTTTCCTTCCCTAAACGTTCATATGTTAAGTAATTGTGCATAGCACAAGGACCAGAGCTTTTTTGCTCTAACAGTACTATATGATACATTGAGCCCTCATGGGAAAAGAGTGTGTGTGTGCAAATGTATATATATGTCAGGTCAAATGCACTGTTTTTCCTCATTTTCCTTCAATCAGTAAATCCAGGAAGTTTAAAGTACTATGAAGGAAAGGCAACACAGATGGGGTGTGAATGTTCATATGGACAACAAATCCCAAAGTATTCCAGTTATTGACAAAGCATTTTTTTTCCACCTGAACACTTGCTCACATATGCTTTACGTTTTAGGTCCTTCTAAGCTAAAGCATAAGTTACCTTGAGATAGGTCTTGGAATCCTTTGGGAGAATATGATTGCAGGATCACTTTGCCAAAGGCAACACTATTTCTAGATGTTTCTCCACGTCACTCAGTAACAGCGTGGGTGGAGTCGCCCTCATCAATGCAACCAGTATAATCTGAAGTCCACTTCTGATCACAGAATGTAGGCCCACTTCAATGGTCCCATAAGAGACACCGAGACAATATGATATCCATTTAAAAAAAAAAAATGAAGAGGTAGAAGGGTCTCCCTACCTCTCTATATCACAAAAAGTAAGGGAACTTTTTGAAATGTCTGCTTCTGTGTAAACAGAGGTAAACATGATTTTGCATTTAAAAATCCTCTCCAGTATAAAGCAGGTCAGCTATCAAGCATGAATCTCTTTTTTTAAGAGCAACAATCCTCAAGAAGATTCACAGAATCACAGAATCACAGAATGGTTGAGGTTAGAAGACCTCTGGACATCATCCAGTCCAACCCCCTGCTCAAGGAGGGTCATCTAGAGCACATTGCACAGGATTGCATCCAGGCAAGTTCTGAATATCTCCAGAAGAGGACACTAGAATATTTAGACTGCTGGGGTCCCTTAAAACTCAGATGACCAAGAGATTTATTTCCAGAATGTACTGCATGCTCTAAATAGGAAAGAGGCACAAATAAGCATTCCAAGAAGAACAAGAGAAACAAGTTCTTTATCTCCTTGTAGCCTATTAGGAGTTAGACGGTCACTCACTTTTTAGTCCTGTTTAAGTAAAATGCCAGTACTCTTGTTAGCATGTAATTAATCAAAACAAATACTCCAATTCTTAGACTAACACGAGACAATGTATTGATTTTAAGAACTCTGTTCTCATGGAATATAGCAATTTCACAAAATATAGCAATTACTCCCCAATATAAAAGGCCACACACAAATCATTGCACACTCAGAAAGGAAAATAAAGCACGAATATGTTGAGAGAGAAAGGTTGTGAAAGGCTATAGTAGGCTCTGAGTCTCAAACTCATGTTCTGAAATGCAAAATATTTCTAATATAAGGCAAGAGATTCAATGACATCTTCCCATAATCTTTGAAGATATAAATCGACTGAGGTCCTGGAATCCTTCACTACCAGGAACATGTCATCATCATTCTCCGGGTCTTGGATCTGAACTTTCAAATACATTTTTGGAACTCCTGAACATGTGAAAGAACACAATAATCACAAAGCCTCACAATAATATTGACTATATTTGAAATAAATAATGCCTAAAGAACTTCTCTCGAGAACTTGTCCAGTCTTTCTGGGATGCTTGTAAACTTTTAGTGTAAAAGATGATCTCAGCTTATGACACCGCCCAAAGTTTTCCAGAGATTCCCCTCTCTCTGATGTTCCACATTTGCCCGTACATATTCTGATAAACCTTCATCTCATCTTTCAGCCTACCAGTTAATACTTCAAACAAGGGCAAGATCAGTGTGATTTGAAATTACTGAAAAACTACACACAGATTTAAAAATAATAAAAGTAAGGTCCTCTTTTATAAGCATGCCTTCCATGAAAGAATAACATTAGCTTCCTATATTTACATTGCAGGCATTCAATAGTGTTTGAATTACCTATCTGCAGATTTTTGCAAAAACTCTTCATTTTCTCCCTCAAGTTCTTCATTTTCACATTTCAAATCATTCAATGCTTCACGAGTATTGAGCAACTTTTGTTTTATAGTCTGTAGATCACCTTCCCAGGAGGATTTCTAACAAACGTTAAGACATTAAGACATTTTTAGTGTAAGCTGAAATTACAGTTCAACATAGATGATGCAAACACTTTTACTTCAGTTATATAAAAACAATAAAAAACTTACTAATTCTTCAGTAGCTTTAATCACTTCAGAGCAAGCATCTGATATTTTTATGTTCTCATTTCCTTGGGCAGCTATTTTATCATTCAAATCTTCTATCTAGAAAATATTTTATAAATTATACAAATATCTCCTCCATTTATTTGTAACAATTAAATGATACATTTAAAAATTAAATTTAAAATACACTGACAAAGGAAGGCTATTGAAAGGTATCTAGAGATGTTTCATGCTGTGTTAGTCATATGCACATCCTCAGTGTGATGTATGCAAGCAGTATCTTTAGACTTCATTAAGGATATACTCACACCTTGCCAATTCATGTTATGACATACACGGTATTATTGAGTAGACTACGTTTAGTTCCTCTCAGCCTCAAAAATTTCCTTAATATCCCAATATTTCCCAATATCCTTGTTGACTTAATACAGAGATTCATATAGCGATTCAATGACAGATTAATCACTGGAACTTAAGGAAAATGAGGATGTTAGGGAAGTAAGTACCTACAGGGTAAGGAAAACATCTGAAGTGGCCTCAGATGGATAGATATAGGCATCCCTGCTCACAGTAAGCTTGATAGACTTTGTTTCCCTCAGCACTCTCTTTTCTCAGTAGAGGTAGAAGCAACACAGCTACCCTGGCAGAACTTTCGTAAAGCATCCCCTTAGAGATATGGGTCCGACCGAAATATTGCTAGATTGCAAGCGTACCCAAGCGGGATCAAGGTTCGTGAAGATGTTAGCATTGGGATACAGAATACATGGGGGAAGAGCAGGACAGAATTTAGACACAGGTACTCTGCAAATGTCAAGTAACTTTTACTGATACCTCAAGAATCTGAGGAAGAACAGCAGATTTACATGAGATACTGGCTAAGAAGAAAACTAATACAGGTTTTGTCTTGGTTTCTTGTTCGACATGTCATAGCTCTGCTGTACTTCCCTAGTATTCTCCTGATTGTCCTGGTATGGTTGCACCTCCCCAACTAGTTAGTGACTAAAGGTGTTATTAGAAACACCCCTTTTCCCTAACAGAAAGAAGACTCAGAAATTGATGGCTTTGCTATTGCCATCTTCAGCTTTTCAAAAAGAAAAGACCGCACTAAACCACTTCGTATTTTTATGCTGTGCATTGCAAAACACTGAAATGCTGGACAAAAAAGGAGGTAATTCCAAGGTAAGTTGCACAGAAATGTAAGTTCATGTGGCAACAACCATGCAGCACCATCACAGATAATAAAATTAAAATTGAAAGTCAGGTCCAGTTATGAGCTCCTTTTATGCACCCAAAAAGATATAATACTTGAAAAAAAAATCCCAATCTTAGGCCTACTTTATGACCTGAGTTTCCTTAAAAAAAAAATAATAATAATAACTCAATAACACCCTTTCTTCTAAATAGCAGAGTCATATGGATTTGGCAAACTAGTACTTAAACCACTTTGAAAGTTCACATATGAGTTGTTTTTAATGCAAGGTTTTCGTTTCTGTCATATTTTTAAAGTTCCATTAAAAGGATAGATCTAAAAAGTAAAAAAATCTGATGAAAAAAGGCTCTTCTGTGCCAACTGATTAAAAGGTTAATGCAAGCAACTAACAACATGAATTACTAGCACTTATATATGCTCCATATACAAAGCAGCAAGTAGGTGCTGCGGAGCTTCCATCTCAAAACAGCAGAGAGTTAAAAAGAAACTAGCAGTTGCTTTAGCACTTCCAAAACTGTATGACCACAAGTCACATAAGCAACATGAGAGAATGGCAGGAAAAGCTCCAACATACAATTCTGGTCAAGTAAACACGACCTCCTCATCTTAAGACATAGGGCCCACATTCAACAGGCACACCACCATGGAATGTATACAGTCAGGTGCTCCAAACAAAACAGCTGAATATCTGTCCCTTTGAAGGATAAAAAAAATCCCAAAGATTTGGAATCTCGTATTTAGCAGCTGAAGCATCTTTTACGATTTGTTCAGTAAATCCACCATCACTGTGCTTTTTTTCCCCCAAAAAATTGGTAAAAAAAAAGAAAGCTATTTGGAAAAATGACTTCTGTAAAACTTAACACGCTTTTTGCAAAACTTACCATCTTTGCTAAACTCACCATCCACTTTGCTTAAGGCGACATAAAGCAACTGTCAGGACCCTGAGCACATTTCCCCTGCTCCTAGGAGTTTAGCTCACAATCAGCTCTGATAATGCACTATGAGTGATTTCTGAGAGCTGTTTGAGAAGACTCAGCCAGCCTGGAAACTGCTCAAAGGGAAAGCTGCAAGCCTAAGAGGGGCTCCCTCCCTCTTCTCTGCAGATCTGTATTTAAGCTGAGGCTCTGGCTCTCAGCCCTGGCCTGAGCTAAGTTACAGCCATGCCCATGCCTGGCCATATACCCCATTGGTCCAAGGCTGACTCTGACCTATGAACTGCAGACTTGACATCCTGGCTTAACCTCGGACCTGCCTCACCACATTGGACTTATCTGGCAATCTAGACTCTTGGCTGGACCTGGTTGCCATCACCACACCTGAGCAGCTCACCCTGATCCAGCACTAGAGGACTGCATCCTTGTAAGTGAGACCACTGCCTCTCTCTGCCTTGTTATCATGCTCAGCTCTCCGCTCTCCCACCTTGCAGAGAGCTGGCCCTTGCTGCTCCATGATAATACTCTGTACCACTGCAGGGCTTGTGTTTTCCAATGTGATGGTATTCAGCTATGCCAATGATAAAGGAAGAACGAAACAAACTTGAATTGGTGCTTTAGGGACTACAGATCATTTAATTTTACCAGCTTTATCAAAGGTCTAGAAATTGAAAAAACAGCATTTTTAACTGGTTTGGAGCTAATGAATTGTATTTTCAAAAAATGCTGCTTGCCTAAAGAGAAAACAAAGCTACGAGCTGATGAAGAAATCCTTTGTTATCTACTAAAGGATAAGGAGCTACACTCGCCCCATGCTTTTGTCAAGATGCCCTGTCTGGGGCACTGAGCGATCTTTTGTAAAGTAAAGCAAAGTCTATTTCTATTATTAAATATAAAGGCACATAACGATTGTTTCAGGGAATACTGAAGCAAATATATAGTGTGATACATACCTCAGTTTTTAAAAGAATATAGAATATCATCAATTACGTAACATTGACAGGAAATAGGAGAGAAGTGGATAGAACAGCTTAAAGAATACGCACATGCTTAAGTAAGCAGGGCCCAACTAAATTCACCCTCCTGATAATGCCTCCTTTAAATAGCTAACTCAGGAAATGACAGAATAAAATCTAAGTCATTAATAATTGTATGAAGAATTTATGGAAAAATGTTCCAAAGAACTGGAGCCAGGCAAATTTAACACCCGTTTTTGAAAACATAAAAAGCAGAACGCAAGAGATTTAATCAAAATAACTTTGACATGAAGAAAAATTCTGGAGCACATTAATTAAAATTTGTATATTCATAATTAGAAGCTGGAATAGCAAACATGAATATTTTAAGACTATATAATAAAAATTTAATCTCCTACTTTGAAAATGTAATCTGGTGAAAAGGGAAGCAGTAGATGTGATACATCTTAATTTTAATAAGTCTTTTGATGATATTCCACTCATAGTCTCCTAAACAACCTAAAAAAAGTATAGATTAGATGTATATGCTCATGAGATTACAACTGGTTGAACTTCTTTTCTTCATTGTTAACTTGGAAAAAATTTCAAGTGGGAGCTCACAGGGGTCTATGCTATGACTAGCACCATTCAGTATGAATTAGAACCTTGAATGACAAAATAAAGACAAAATTAACAATCACATCTACAGATGATACAAAAATCTGGAAATCCAACAAAATTTTGACAAACTAGAAGCTCATAAATAATCAGCAAGATGAAAGTAAACAAAAATATATGAAGTGAATATATGAAACTACAATGTAAAACTCTGAGTCAAAAACTGTAACGTATGTCCTAGACATCAGGAATAATGTCAGGAATTATTGACGTTCTCACTCCAACTAAGAAAGGCCTCGGAGTATACTGTACAGGGCTTCATAATTTAAGATGTAAGCAAACTGGAGAGAGTCTACAGAGAAAGAAGGATGGTAAGGGATTTAGAAAATATGATCTATGAATTAAACTGAAAAGAAGCAGGTACATTTATTAATCCAGAAAAAGGACACCTAAAAGCAAATTAGTAAGTCTTTCCGTATGTAAAACAAAGTAACAAAGAGACCGTAATCAACTATACTTCAGGGACAGCATCGGAAAGACAAAAAGAAGTCAAAAGAAACTGATTACATTCGCAGGAATATTAACAGGTTAAGTATGAACAAAATGTCCCAATTTTAGATCACTAGTACATAGGAAAAAATAAATCAGAAATGTTGCTCCTTCTTTCCTTTGATACTTTAGGAGCAAAAATTTTGACAGGAACGGCCCAAAAATATTGCTACACTGTGCAAAGCAGACTAGGTGATTTCCTGAAATCCTTTCTAACATGGCTTTCCTGGTAATTTCAAAAACTAAGTATTCTTCTTAATATGCAGCATAAAACAAGCACAAGCTTGTCTTAACCTCCATCTCCTCAGTTTATCCATTCTTCATTTGTCTAACATTTAAGCAGATGAGGCAGGCTGCCAAAAAAGCAAATCTATAAGTTTTTCACAGATTAAAAGCAGAAATCTAGAAAGGCGTAACTAGGAATGTCTGTGAAGGATGACCACCAGAGTAACAGACTTAATTGTTATCTCTGAAGGATGACACAGAGCTGTTGCTTGATCTTTTATGTACTGTGTGGCTTTCCAGAGTAGATGAAAGGTATGAAGCTGTATGTTGTCAAATCATAAACAGACTCCTATAAGATCGTTACATGGAAAGCCCACTTTGACTATGCATCAGAGCTTGATGAACATTGTCCATCTGCTACTTTTTTTTTACATCTCCTAACTGCTTCTGGGTTTTCTATCATTATATCTGAAATAAGGCTTGTCCTATTTTTAACTACCTTACGAAATATTATCAGAGAGCACAGATAGTGTTAGTACAGTTTTTCTTAATTCCTCTCATATTTTTTTGTACTCTGGAGAAAAGGAAAAGAAATCCTTACTAGATAAAACTTTTCCTTGAGATGTGTTTACTTTCATCTGTTTTAATGTAGGTTTACTTCTCCACATACTAAAGAATTCCAAATCAGAACACATGTACGAGTAGCAGGACCAGACAGTCTTAACATTCTCAGAAATAGAAGTAAGGATTTCAAGTAATTTTACTTATATCCTGACTATAAAAGCCAATATCTGCACTTGATATATAAAAGAAAGCTGTTCTTTTCACACTTTTCAGGCTCCAAACAAGCTGTTGAATGACAGGTACTTAGCAGTTCTGTAAAAGAAGATATGGGGGTTATAATGACTTACAGACAGAGCATAAGTCAACAATGCCTTTGAGAAGATACAAGAACAGACTGAAAGAATTTGTTTTGTCTAAAGCAGAGATGACAGGGCACAGACATTGTAAGTCTTTAGGTATATGTAATGCTGGAGACAAAAGCAATCAAAGAGAAAAAAGGAATATTATACTATTTGTACTTGCTGTGGTTAGGGCAAAAAGTAATAAAAAACAAGTTTCAAGAGTGAATTAGACCATAAAACCCCTCTTTTAAACGATGAGCATAGTTGTGCCTTGCATTTTCCATTACAGAAAGCTTTTAAGGTAGAGTAAGCAGTCAAGGGGAACTTAGATACAGCCCTTTTTCTCTGTCTTTAATTCAAAAAAATTTATAGTAACAACTTCAGATGAAAGCTTCAGAAGTCTTTTAGCATTAGATTATGTCTTTGCTCCTGATGTGACAAAAATGAGACAGATGGATACCACAACCAAATAATATTTGGTGAGTTACTCCTAAGGAACAAAGGAAGTGATGGAAAATAATAGAATCTTGGGATAAACCTTCTTTTCTTCACAAGATTTCCAGAAGTTCTCAGCAGTTATAATTAAGAGCAGGTTTGTAAAGAAAATAACATTCAAAAGTTCATAAATTTTATTTTCTATGTAAATCTGCCTCACTACTTCTGTGGATTTTGCCTGCTCTGTGGAACACTATACAGAAGCAGATATGAACATGCTCTAACTTATTCCTTTGTTATCCTCCGCCTCAGAAGATCTCTACTATCTTATCCAATTTCCAATCTCTTTCTGCTGCTAGTAGCAACAACAGAGCACTAACTTTGCTGTGTCACTGTAATAGCAGGGCACTGGTTCCACTCAGCACTTGGAATATTATTTGGACAGCAGGCTACCCAACGAACAGCTTAAGTCTCAACCAACTTTCAGATGTCAAATCCTCTTCCATTAGCTAACGGGAAAAAATTATACTCTGTTGAATTGCTGGATACTCATGAAGACAAGAGAATAATGGAGGAGTATGTAGGCATGAGACTAATTTTATGAGGAGCCTTTCTTCTCATCTCTGAAAAGCTGTACCCATAGATACCGAAAACTGGATTTAATGTATACAGATACTTTCTGTAATACAAATCTGGGTAACAAAGGCAAAAAAAAAAATCTCAGAGCTGTCACTATAGTGTTAAAAGTTGTAACACTTCCTAAGTGATAAACCACTCTTACTAGGCTACATATAAAATAAAAAACAGCGTGAAGAAGGGAAAAGAGTCAGAAAAAATACAGAAAATATTAATTCACATCACTATTTCTTTTCTCAGATCTGTTGCTTGATAATAAAATAATGACGAACGTGCCAACTGACACGCTATAATATGGATCCAATTCAAATTCCACTGAAGTCACTGAAAATAATCACAATATTTTCCCATTTTTCCTCCAGTAATTATATTATTCCAGTAAGGTTTCCAGGATCACTTTGAGCTTTCTCAAAATCCACTGTTACTTGTAAAGGATTATTCACTTAGTTAGCTTAGCCATGTTTTTGAATAAAACTGATCATGACAGCTAATCTTTGTAGTAAAACTAATTCTGTTTCATCTTCAGTATAAAGTAATCAGAGGTGGTCAACAAAAGGAGCAGTTTTGTGCTCCATCTCACCCTTTTTTCACATTTCACTCTTTGTGTTGGCATGCAGCACTTGGTGAAGCATATCAGATCAAGCAAACACAGATGGAAATGAACCAAAAAAAGAGCTTACCAGTAAGTATTGGCTCTATCTGAAAATAATATTTTTCTACTTATCAGTGGTCGCAACAGCTAGTGCCAACAACAGGAAGAAAACTGTAATACGTAGCTAAGTGTTGGAAACAAAAGGTAAAAACATGTCCACTGGAGGCAGCACTGTCAACTATGACTCTAAATCTTTAATATTTTTTTTGTAAATTCAGGGCACACTTCCAGATTCAGCCTCTCAGGGAACCTCACCTTCCACCTAGATTCTGGATTTCACTAGACCTTAAGCAGGATCTAGCTCTTTAGATGAAGAAATCATAGCAGTTCTGGGCACGTACAAGACAATGAATTTTATATTAAAATATACATATTTATATATACACTATATGTGCATATTTATAGATACACACCAACACAGACACGCACGCGCACGCGCGCACACACACACACACACACGCACACACACGCGCACACACACGCGCACACACACGCGCACACACACGCGCACACACACGCGCACACACACGCGCACACACACACACACACACTCTCTCTCTCTCTCTCTCTAAACCCTGTTTCAGGCACCTAAGCATTACTTTGGATCTGCTTCATCTTATTTTCCACTAGTACCACATACGGAGCCATCTGTTAATTGAAAACTCCTAGTCAGGCAGTGTGATGATCTTCAGATTTTAAACTGTCATGTACAACAATACAAGGATCCAAAAGGGATGCTAGACTTGTACAAGAGAAAACAGAGGAATTTTAAATAAAAGAGACTATCACTGTCCATACAGTGAAGAAAGTGCATCATTTCTAATCTCAAGTCAAAAAATCTATTAATGTAAATCCATTCATGCTGTCCCACACACTTTCTTTCAGATAATTTGAGAAAGATGAGTAATATGAAGTAGATATGCATCCAAAAACTAAAAATATACATTAAAAATATACAGGTCACTCAAAGACGTGTAAGATGATCATGATACTTCTAATAAGCAAAGCTGCAAACTAATACTACAACACAAGAATGCACAAGATCAAGAATTCTATGCAATTATATCACTTTTTAAAAATCAGTATTTACATTTTTGCTCTTATTAAGGACCTTAACTTTTAAACATACAAAATACTCAGGCATTTTTGTACTTTTCAATAAAGGCACTCATTTACTTGCTTGTTTATAAATATTCAGCACTCACTTTGCTGTTCCAGCATTTTGCATCTTCCTGGATTTCTACTTTTTGCTTCACTAACTCCTCAAGGTGTTTTTCATCCTTTATAATCTTCTCCTCTGTTTCTTTTAACTTTATACAGTATTCAGTCCAAATATATTCACAACGCTTTAACTCACTCCTAATAGAAATACACACAAAGTGAATCCATCTATTTGGAAATATTCCAAGGTAGTCCCTCTCCATAAAGGAAAATGTAAAGCAGATCTGAATTAGTAAAGATTTATTTTGGTTCTCTATGGTGACTACATTTCTTGTACAGTACGCAGGAGATAATTTCAAAATATCTACCCGGGCAGGTTCATATAATTTCAGCCAGACATCAAAACTACTCATGCTGCCAGTTCACTTGTACTTAAATAGACTACCAACATTACAACTTTTAATTGGACCTATGAACTAGTATCCGTGCAGTTAAGCAGAAGACTGTCTTTAATACCCCACATTAATAAGTACACAGAGAGCTTTCTCTACTAGTGACTACTTCTAGTTCAGAGCCTTCTTAATTTAATTAATCCAGTGCACTGTCATTTTGTGAACAAATATCATTTGAGAGAAAAAATCTTTTTTTCGATATAGTCATGTAACCGGTATATCTGGTGCTACTATGCACTTAGAAACTCTAATGCCTCATCATGTAAAAAGGAACTTGTATATAATAGGCAAGGGGATAAAGACCTTACTTATACTCTGAATTGCGGCTTTATCAGCAGACATTATAGTATCAAAAGGAAAACAGCTGATAATTATGGAAATGGATAACAATATACAACAATAGCCAGAGAAACACTTCCAGGAGACACTGTTCGTATCATTACAGGCTATGCAGGGAAAGGCAAAGGATTTGGTGAAAGGCAAAAGAAATAGAGGGAGATCAGGTTAAAAGTTTACAATGACCGCTAGTGCTTGTCCATTATTTTTATTATTGTTTCAGCATGTAGAAAAGAGGAGTCTTCCTCATTCCCCCAGGAGAACCACCTCAGTCAATAACATATTTCCCAAGCCCGTCTTAACTGGCAAAATAAATCCACCACAGCAGAACTAAGACAGATAGTAGTTATGTTTTAAAGACATTCACTACACTACAGTCAATAAAAACCCTGGCCAGGTTGTTGCATACTTAAACACAGTAAAACAACAGAAAAAGCAATGAAGAGAAGATATCACCGGTAATTCTAGAATCATTCCTACAGGACTGCTTAATAGACACTCTGCCTTTATTTGCTTCCAAGATTTCCAGCTAGTGATGAAGTAAAGACTTATAGCAAAGAGGTCACATTCTAAATGTCACAGAATGTATATTATGAGCATGAAACCTAGTACTTCTAACTCTTTCTCTACTCTCTTAGGTCCCACCACCTATGAAATAAACATATAAATGACATTTCAGTTTATTCTTAACATAATAAAGTAAAAGATGTAACATACACAGTATATGGGAAACTGTGTGCAAACACCAAAAAACGGTACTATGTACAATGCAAGCTCCTTCACACTTTTTTTAAAGTTCTGCATCTGCTCCACGTATGATATCCAAAAACTTTTAAAAGTTTCCTACATTGTCAACCTTATATATCAAAATAATTAAGGGAGAACATAAGGCTTTAATTAGAAAACATTTATTTAATTCTTGTTATCCATGACAGACATGTAACAGTCATGTCATAGAGTGTAATTTTCTTCTCATATTACCCATCAGCCACAATTTTTATGAGTACAACCTCAAGGAAAAACATAATACTATCAGCTGTGCAGAAAACGTGTAAGAATATCAGACTATGTGATGTAGGCCAGAATCACTATTTTGAGTTACAGGCAGCATTCTTCACTCTCATTGATGGTACTAAACACATAGCAGAGAGAATCAACTGAAGAACAGTACTTGAGATCTGTGTCACAGTAAATTTGTCTTTCTCATATCTATCACATATCATTCTAGTCCTCCTCAGATGCCAACTAAAGGGTTGTGAGTACACAGAACTGAAGGGTCTACTTTCTCTGTAATTTAAGTATGACCTGAATTACCACTCTAGCAAAAGGCTACAGGAGAAAAAATTACAGGATACAAAAAACAATTTCATCACTTAGGGACAGAATAAACAATCTTCTATTTGATTCTTTCCTGTTAAGTGTGGATATTCCTAAAAACACTGCTATCATTAACATTTTTAATTTAACTTCCATTCCCATAAACAAAACAGGTTGCAAGATTCACAACAGTCTACATCACTGTCATGGGATATGAATAGGAAATACCTAACTACATGAAACAGAACACAAACATGGTAGATTTTATTTCATAGACGATGAATTTCCAGCATTAGGTACCTATTGCCACTGTCACTAGGATGTTGAAACAAGTCATAATGTAAGCAAAGGGACACAGAGTCCTTGTAAAGCAATTTTAATGCACCTTAGAACAAATGCTTGCTATAAGAAAACTTAAAAAGTGGTAATCAGCCAGAAACTGATGACCTGGACAAACACCTCAATTTTTTTCTTGTACGTAAAACAAACTCAGAGTCTAGACCTCTACCAAGACTACCAAAACAAAACCAAACAGGCTGACAGGTGTGACACAATGATAGAATTCTAAAGAAAACTAAATAAAAACCTACATAAAAGATCATTAAAAGTGAAAGAGTCACATGGTGATATAAAGAATTCTAGTACTAATGAGAAAATGCAAGAGGAAGATTAAATGATCAATCCTCTTTGAAAGAAGAGGTCAACAACATGCTATCTCACCATCCATATCTGTTGCCTCTATATATTTATTAATGATTGGAAAGGGCAAGGATGAGTTAAATTGAAAATCTGCACACAACGCAATTTAGAATAGTCAAGACCTAAAAGAACTGTAAGAAAATTGAGAAAATTTTCAAGACAAGCTAAATAAATGTGGAAAACAACAGCATATTACATTTAGTCTCTGAACTCAAAAGAAATATATGCCAGAGAAAAAAAGATTAAAAAGTCAATACAACTTAAAATTCTTCATTAACTGTATGAAATTGGGAGAGATATCTACCTGTTTTCACAATTAGAAATTCTACTCAACAAATAAGAAACTAGAGGAAAAACATTATAATAAAAAGTAAGATGTCCTTATTAAAGTCATTGGTATGGCTTCACTTGGAATGCTATCCGATTAGTTTTCAATCCATTTCAGGAAAGCATATCGCATAAATGACAACGTAACAGACAGGTCACAAGAGACAGGAAAAGTCTTATGAAACTACACTGAAAGTAATGAAATTTGCCTTAGAAAAAAAGATAAGTTAAGAGGGAACAATGCAAAAATCCAAAGTCACAGGATACAGTTAGTCAAGGAGATTCACAATACACAGCAATCTTGCACGTCTTACAGCTTAGACTCCCAGACTACAGCAATGTCCCTACAAGAGGAGGGTAACAAATTGCTGTTGACTACACCCAATGAATACGAATTGATGGAGAATATAATTTAAAAGTAGGTATCTACTGGTATAGTCAAAATCTTCACTTAAAAGAAAAGTAAAATCATATATTTCAACATCGTTCATCATGGTTTTACACAGTAAAATCACCTCCAGTAATGCATCACTATAACCACTGCTAACAACTCTTGCCAGCAGCTAGTAATTTAGACAACCTCGCAGAGGACTAAGTGGGTAGGTGAAACACTGAACTGATTTGCAGAAAATCTGAATACGTAGCACTAAACCACACTATATTTTGAGAATATTCCTTAGGCAGGACCTCATCTTTCCCTTAATTAAAATCAATCTGAAGGTCTGCAATGAACTTTATGGGTACAGAATCAGAGTCTGTGCTATCTGATTTCTCAATACCGGAATCCAAGCAGGATCTAATGAGCATTTGATCATACCATCTCTATATACATATTTAAGCCACAATTAGAATTCCAAACATTATGAAGACAAAATGATCTTGCATTCACAAGCTTGTATCTCTCAAAAATCAGCATTATCTCCTACTCTTCACATACTCTTTCTTTGTCAAGACATATATGGTAACTTTAATTGGAAAAACATGGTGATTTCCAGAAGTCACTCCAGCCTTTGGTAAGTGTTGACATTACAAAAATCTGGTCTTAGGTTTTGTATATTAAAATTGTTTTAACATTTTTGACTATATTTTTGTCTATAATTTTAATATTTGTATATTATTATTCTTTTCAGATTGAAAACCAGGCTCTAAAAAGAAAAAGGTTAAGCTTTAGTTAACGAATCATAAACATGTTTTATGTGAATCTTTTTAATTTTATGAGAAACACATTAACATTTTAAATAAAGTAGAATAGCAATAATATAATGGTGAAAGGAATTTAGTATCAAAATTATCCTGAACCCAAGAAATTCAGACTAAACGTTAGACTCAAAAAAAAAAGAAAAACCCAAACATGCTGAAAAAGGAAACAAGTCAGCCAAAGAGGCTTGTTTCCCTAGTACTGTTAAGCCAGCTATCTTACTGAAAAATATAGTTTCTTATCTTACACTGACTAGTCCTTACTGATGCTATAGGCAGTTTGGATCTCATTTCAAGTGCACAGGGACTTTAAAAGTGCAAGACTGGAACTTCTCAAGCAGTGATGTCATTTAGGCAAATGTAAGTGATCTGGAATGTCTCCTGCTTCCACGTTGAAGTACAAGCACATAGTAGGAAGAGCTATGATCCTTCTTTAATTTGCTTGCAGTTTAGTGCCAGTGGCCCTGAGATCCACAGTGGCTATAGTATCTAAATAAACTGGATTATTGCATATAAATAACCTTGCTTTCTTCAAGTATGTGTAAGTAAGGTTCCCACTGCAGTTGAATGGCAAGGACAGTTCTCTCTGGAGAGCACACATCAAAAATACCAGTCTCATTAGTTAAAGTAACAATTTCCTGAGGGTGGTATCCACCCCAAAATATACTGTGAAAGCACTATTTCACAAAAGTCAGGAATATTTTCTGTTGCAGGCTTAATAGCTTGTTAATAGCCTAGATTGCTTCTGAGCCAGGCAATATGTACTTCTACTGTGAGACTATCAGAGTTGTTTCAAGTTCCCAGAGGCTAACCAGTTTTTGAAATAAACTCGCTAACATTTTATAATCTAAAGAAACTTGAAATGATTCAACTCCCATTTTTTTAATCACGTGCAGCTCTTTACCATGGCCTACTAAGCACCATAAAAAATATGCAGAACAATCACACTTACTAACTACAATTATTTCTTGAATAAAGGAAGGAAAAGAAAATCTAAAACCAGGAAACTGTCACAGCAGTTACAGTCTCTTCTTCATGTCTCTTTGAGAGTGGGCCTTTCACGGGGATGACCAAAATACCTTATTCTCAAATTCTATTGTGTCTACTTTTTGTTATGTCATAGATAACTAAAGGAGTTTACATACAAATAAAAAATATAACAATTATTCCTATTTGATATATTAAATAAACAGGTTGTTAGCAGTGCCCTAAGCTCTCACAACTATGCGGTTATCTGACCATTTGGCGTTGGCCCTCACAGTATACAAGCCTACAAAAGGTCTTTAATTGACAGAATACAGGAATTACAATGTTTGTCTACAAGCCACTCATAAATGCTTCTTTTGTGACTTTTAAAAAGTCTGGCAGGTTGCTATTGGCCTGTAAAATGTGAAAAATTACAAAGTTTACTTCTACTAATAACAGAACCGCTAAAGTTTCTTGACAAATATGTGGCGCAGGATCCTTAGATATACACAGACGACAATCCTCTTTGGCAAATAGGCTTTTACTGACCAGAAATGACTAACAGCTCTTACAAACATTAAATCTGTGATGGTACGAAGAGTAATTCTTGTAGTTCACAGTCGTATTTAGAAGTACAGGGAAAAACTGTTACAGAGTTCAAGAAACATCCAGTTATCTAGCAGACACGGATTGCCCCTCTCCTTGAGTGACCTGACACTACTGACAGGAACTTTGCAAATAGTCTAATTTCCACTGAGAGTTCAATGAACATAACCTTCCTCTATAAATGATCATGTAGCATTTTGTGTTTGCAGTACTTCCTGTGAGCTGAGTGGATCAATGTATGGCAACGCACATCCTGCAGTAAGAAAGCTGCAGTGTCTTAAAGTTTACAAGACAGAATTATCACAGAAGAAATACATTAACTTGAGATGGTACATGTATCTGCTGATAAAAAGACACCCTTCTAAAACTACCTTTCAGATAAAAAAGAAAACACTCTTCCTTTTTTAAAAATGAAGAAATACTGGGACTAGAAGCTTCTTCCCTTCTGCTCTGCAGTTGCTCCTTTATTGCTCACAGGTAAACTAATGATGCCAACTCTAAAACAAACTCTAAAGAGAATGATCCTTGAAAAGAAATAGGAAATGGGAATTAGATGGAACAGTCCCTAGTAGAGGCTCTGCTGCACGGGAGGTTACCAAAGAAACTTGAGTTTACATGGACATCTCAACAGCTACATTCATTTTGCTGCCTGGAATGAAGAACCGAGAAGCAAGACACGTTTACACCTTCCATTGTATTCCTGGTGCTTTCTGACATCAACCGTCTGGAACTAGTGAAACAGTGTGTGCTGTCTCAACTCAGGCTTTGCACAGCACAGCTTGAATTATGGAACTGGGATATAAATTCCTAGTGAATATGAGGTAGTTCTGAATGAATAGTACGGACCAAAGATGGTTGCTTACTACAAAAGGTAAATATTTTGTAATTACTCTGCACAGCTTTTGAAATACCTGGTGTTTGAAGTACAGCTGCTGTCACATGGCTGTAGTACTGAAACACTGCTGTTGCTAGTAAGGGTATCTTGACAATTTACCTATCTCTTTCAATTACGCCTGTAAGCTTCCCTCACCTCAAGCTAAAAACAGCCGCTATGCCACTTGATACTTCACCATATATAGCCTGGTAAGCAGCTATAGGCATATGCAGCAAAGCCGAGTACAACTTCCTATTAAACATAAAAGTACTCGGTACTCTTGTTCGTTGCCACAGTTCTTTTTGGTCCTGACTCTCTCGGTCTGTATGCTCAGCAACAGACAGGGGAGATCGTTTGACAGTGACTGGTGTTCTTCTGTCAGTAGACTTCTACTTGATAATTCAAGGGTTCATTACCTGACCACGGGTGACAATGGGGAAATTGCAATGTTAGTCTGCTTTTATACAGAAGCTACCTTATAATCCAATAAAATTACAGCAACCTTATCTGCTGGTTAAAGAAGAAAATATGGACATGAAATTTGGTAAGTTCAAACGTTTGTGCTGTTGGCTAGAATTTTTCAGGTTAACAGGCAAGCTGAAAATTAAATTACCACAGCATAGTTAGTATTAACTATGGTAAACATAGTTAGTATTAACTATGGTAAATGCTGATGTTTGATGCAAGTAATTTGTGCAGCCAGTAAGAATGATAGCAAAATGGTCTATCAATCAAAAGGATTAAAAATTCATATATAACTAAGTAAAATAAGGTAGACATGGCATGCTTAAGGAGGACTCATGGGCATGCTTAAGGAAGATTCATGGAATATGCTATTTGTGTAACACTATCCCTTCCTTATTCTGCTAAGGCAAGCTAAGATAAATAAGGACAAGATTTCTTATATATAGACTTCTTTATAAATAAAAAAAAATCTTTAATTTTACAAAATCAGAATTTAAAATGTTTTCTAAGTGCAAATTTTCTACGCTTTGATTGTCACTGTTAAAAACTGTCAGGATATTTTAATACTATTTTGAGTAGCTCTTACTTGTATTGACTAAACAGCATCTCAGCATATTTAATTTTCTGAGATATAGATTTTATCTCCTTTTCAGCTTCTTCATCAATTCTTTTCATTGTCTTTTGGATTTCCACAAGTTCGCAGTGAACATCACTGTATATTTTTGATGCCTAAGAAAATAAAAAAAGTTTTCTGAAAGATGTTTTTATGAAAAATCATATACAATGTTCAAAATACAAGAATAATTTATATATTTGTCTGACTCTGCAATGTTGAAGTGTGAAATTTGAAGAAGCACCTTGTGATATCATACAACCTAACAACAAATACTGCATAGTCTGCAACAGATACAATCCCGGTAAAAGACAACGGAGTATGTCTTGTAAAATTGCATGACATCGAGAAGTTAGTGTTAGCAAGAGGACTTTCATTCTATTACAGAACTCAGAAGTTCTTGTGAAAAGGTGGCTACTTCCATGGGAAGATAGTGACCTCTGGAGCAGAAAGACAGAAATAAAGTTGAAAGAAGCCACTGAGGTTTCACTCAGCAGTCTGAAAGAACCATTACTTAAAGCTCTCCAGGAGGATGTGCAAGCCACACAGTCACGGATATAAAAGAAGGGCCGGAGACAATGCAAACAATGAAGGCAATTGTCAGTGGTATAAATAGCATTGAATCACTCTGTTCCTACTACCTTTCAAATGGAGCTGTGTACACGCCTACTGCATCTGCTTTTGAAACTATAATGACAAATATCAGCAATTAACATGATACAAAATCTTTATTACACTCTAACTCTTACTTAACTGCTCAGTCTGGTTCTCTGGATATTAAAAGCTAGAGAATTAACATTAAATAATTGTTTTAATTACAAAAAAAACTGGCAGCTACTTTTATTTTTAAGGCCATGGGAGAAAAAAGCAACAAAAACTGAACAACAAAGAGCATAAATATTACAGCACAATAAAAGCCATAAATATTTTATTCAATAATTAGAAATTTTATTGAGATTAAATATATAAATGCGTTACAGTGACACCAGATTATGTTCTTGTGATAAGCAGTGTAACTTCTTCGAAAGAAAAAAGTAAAACAATGAAAAAGTTTTTTCTAAATAGCTTTTCCAAAAAGAATGTTGAAGTCTCTTTCCTGAATTGCATTATGGAACATCTCAGCATTTTGAATGCATATAATATATCCTAAGGCATCAACAAAAAGAAAGGATATAAAATCAAAATCAAAATCAAAATAAAGCAGCCTGACTTTTAATTAGCCAGTATTTTGAAAATATCCTTTAACACTGATAGAATAACATGCTAATTTTTAACTGTGAACTGTCTCATAGCTCACAACCCTATACAGCTTTTGGCGTGTAGAAAATTATTTCCAGACTTATAAAAGAAAGGAATTTGCAAGCTGTAATTCAAACATATTGTATCATGATCTGTTGATATTAAACTAAGAAAAAAGAAGTCAATCAATGGGCTACTCATTTATAATCCTTTTATTATTTATGTGATACAATATGCAATTACTTCTTTCTAGTTTGAAAAACATTTTGATATATAGCTGACGACTACTCAAAATATAAGAAGTTAAAAATAAAACAACTTAAAATCAACAATTAGGAATCATTCACAAACATAAAACAATTTCTAGGAGAGAATGTGAATACCCTGTCCTGAAAAAGACATTCATCTCTGGATTTGTAAATCAAAGTTGCTGTAGAAAATACATTGAAAACATAACAATTGATAGTAAAATCTGTACTTCAAGTTACTCAGTAGCTCTCCTTTTTAGACATCAATTTTAAATGGCCTACAGCTTTGTTACACTTGATTGCTTGACATTTTCCACATTAGGCATTAATTATTTCAACAAATAAATTAAGAAAAAAATGTATACTACCACCTAAAAAATAATTAAATCTTATAACTTTCTATAACTTATAACTTTATAACTTTGAAAAGCTCTAGCATCTCCATATCCTGGAATAAAACACTGAAGTCTGAGAGAAATCTGAGAAGAATCTATGCACACAACAGATACATGCGTTCTACTGTTCCTGTGAAAAACTCCTAACAGAATCAACTTGTATAGTTAGACTCGCATACCATATATGCTTAGGAGACATTTATTAAAGACCAACAGCGTTATCTTCCCCAGATTCTGGCTGCACTGAACTCCTGTATATAGGAGCATAGGCACACAGTTCGCAGTCTTTGTGTACAGCATTTGTTCTCTAAAGGTGCTTGCACCTATTTAGTGGAAAGATTCTAATAGAAACATCTTTGCATTATTTCTGCTTACCTTTCCATAAGCCAGTGACACATCCTTCATAGCTTCACCTTCCAGATTCATCTTTTCCTCCAGCAGAGGGCTGTGTTTCTTCATGAAGTCTATATCCTCCTGAATCGTTTTGTTGACTGTTTCTATCTTAAGTACTTGGTTTTCTACCTGTTGCAGCAGACGAGTTTTACAATCAAAATGCCATTGTAGCTCCAAGATATCTTGAGTACATGTTTCATATTCTGTTAAAAAGATAATTAGCATAACAAGATGTGAGTAGCTGAGTGACACTATGAATACTTAATGAGATTATGAAATATGTTGATACAACACTAACTATTTAAGACTTGCAAAATTTTGCTGTAAACGACTTTAAAGGCCAACAGAGGACACTAGTTACAAAAGATACATCACCAAATACTGCATTAACACTGGAACTGTTTTGAAACTCAACCTTAGTGTATCATTCAAACAAATCTTCAAAGTGAGGGATGTTTTCATTTTTATAAAAGAAATTAAAACATCCAGCCTTAAGGTATATCTAAAAGAGGTTATTTTAATACAAGAAGAGCTGTACTGAGCTTCCTAGTATGCATCAGTAGACAGATGCAGATGCAGAGGAAGAACAGGATTGCCAACTATTTTCGGTTCAGGGAATTCCTGAACTGAATGTGGCTTTAAGAAAGTTAAACTAAAGACACAAATTCAAAGCCAGCAAACAAAACATATTCATGTTGCCATACAGAGGTACATTGGACTTGATTTTGTTTAGTGGATCTACTTGTCTTACTTTGGCATAAATTTTCTAGGGTTCTTACACAGAAAATAAATACATGGCCACGTCACTGAAAGGAATATTTCAAATGACACCATATACTTTTATTTTGCTGAGAAACAAAAGCTCATTACAGTTAGTGTCCAAACAATTCTGCAGCAGATGATGCTTTACATTAAAAAAATATTAGTATCCAACTAGGAAAAGTAAACTAAGATTGTCAGATAAGAAAACTTCAGAGAAAGCCTCAACTGAAGTAAACGTCACTAAAAATTTGAGAGATATAAGAACATTTTACTGAAAAAAAAGAGACTCTCTAGTTCTGAGAAGTAGCTGTGGAACATCTAATGCCATCTGTTAAGAGTCAAGAAATTCTGCTGTGTTAATAAGACATAAATCACAAACATAAAGGTATTATTTCATCGCCACTAAAAGTTACAAGGACACTATATGAATAGCTTTTTATCTTATACAAAGTGATGCCTAACAATAGGATAGATAAAACAGGTTTTACATTGGATTTTTATTACATTTTAGAGAAGGTCAATTCTGAGGATGGGTTACATCATTGCAATTATGTGAATATGTTACAGGACGTAAATGCAGCAGGAGTTAGCGATAATGGAAAGCAAGGGAAGTCTGAAGAAATAGCAGGATCCAGCGTCTACTCTGAATAGGTCATGCAAACTCTTAATTAAGAATCTCCTGGGTTTGTGATACTTCAATTAGCGATAATTATAACGTCCCTGTGGGTTTTTGCCCTTTATCTTCAATTTCATTTTAGCGTAATTTTGGTCTTATAGATAATACTAATAGAAATATTATAATCTTTAAAAAACGACAAATTTCCTCCCAGGACACATCATCATACTGCCATAGTCCACTGATAAATTAAGGGAGGAGAGTTGAGAATTTTTACTTATGCTGTTTTTTTTTAATACATTGTATCATTGCATGCATTATCAGAATTGAAAATGTGTTAATTATATTCAATTATTACGAACTTTTCATATTTCCACAGAGGATGCTGAACTGTAAAGTAATAGGACCATATAACAACACACAAAAATGATTTACAGCTGAAACACAGTTGTGCCTTCACTAAACTGGTTTTCATATCACTGATAACCATTTCTGCTCTGAAGCACAGTCTGAAGTATAGTCTTCTTTCAGTCTATGCCATGTCCCCACAGACTGGGGAAGTAACATTTTTTGTACATAAAATCCTGAATCACTGCACTGGAGAATGGAGAGCTGTTACAAACCTCCTCCCCTTACAGTTCTCTAGGTTTTATAAAACTGACCTTTCAGCTGCCGTAGGATTTTCTCCTGACAGTAGTTCCTACCCTCCCTATAAGTGAACTGTAATTCTGATGAACTTTATTCAAGCTCCTCTTTTTCAAAACAACAATGAAAAAGCGCCACTGTTTTCAGTGCAGCGTATATCATCCTTCAGAAGCAGAAGAGCAATCTTTGGAAGCAGGTAACACCTTAAAGCAGGTTTCCAGTTTCCAAGTCAACAATTAGCCATGGGTTAAAAAAAAAATTACTATTCTCATATGCAGTCAGCGGTGTGCATTGTCTGACATTTTGCTTCTTTGGGCAAAAAAAAAACCCAAAAAACAAAAAAACAGACATTTGGGCCAGGCTTGCCTCAATTATGTACTGCTTTTCACTAAGTGTACACCTTAAGTACACACAGTTATGAAAGTCCCTTGCACTCTCTGGATTGTGAAGTATTTGCCAAAGAAAGAACTCAGGATAACGTGCGCTACAGTACTAAGTTATTTTACATCCAGGAATACACTGTTACAAATTATGCAACCTCTCCCTCTCTCTCTCTCTCTCTCTCTCTCTCTCTCTCCATCTTCAACTTCCTTTTGACATCCAGTACCATTCTTAAAACTATAGAAAGATTATAGACAAATCACTGCTATGCTTTACTAATTAGTGTTTAGGAATATTCACTGGCTTCCCGCCACCTCTAATTTTAATTCATCACCACAGTGACAAAGACAAGTGGCAGGATGGATCACAGCCTATAGTTTCCTGCTTCACAGCATCCAAACAAGGCAGCAAAAAAGTGGCCAACAACTGGACTGAGAAGAGGATGGGACTGACGTTCTCTGAAGCCCTGTTCCTGGAACAGCTATAAACACTGCTCTGCTGCCCTCAGTCTAAGAAATATAGCACAGACTGAAAGAAGACTATGCTTCAGAGCAGAAATGGTTATCACAGTCATATAAAAACGAGTTTAGTGAAGGCACATTGACCACTGAATCTCTAACAGTGGAAGTATGGTGCTGCAGAGATATTTTCACCTTATAAGGCTTCTCAATAATCAAGAGTATGCTAGGGATTCTCTATCATCAATGACAGAATATTTGTATTTATCCTTCCCTAAAAGCGTTAACAGGCCATAAATAGAAATGCTGCTTTTGGGTAGCATACCGAGCTTTTGGTGACTCAAAACAAGTTTATTAACATCAGCGTGGCTTGCTCTGAAAAACTTTATGAAACTAGAGTTCTTCAGAACTCACTTGTTCTCATTATGAAGAAAAGGATAATTTGCCAGCCCAACACAGCATTATCAGAGAAAGAGTTTCTCTTCCTACTTTTTAAGATTCTGACTGTGTTTGCTTCTCTAGTTGATTAATGTTTTATTGGACATCTGGATATAAAAGCATAAACTATCCACACAGCAGCTACAACATAACACTGAAAAGAGCTTTTGTGAAGATGAAAGGGAGATTTATGGTTGTCTACTGAAAGACTCGAGACAGCCATGCAATACCTGTACATGATGGGATGTTGCTGCACATGTGTAAGAACTAAGAAAAGGGCCTTAAAAGCAGAAGTGAAGATACCGGCAAGAAAGCTTAGTCGGCCTTTGAGATGCCCGTTACTCAGTGACAATAACCAAGCATGATGTGTGGGAACATTATGGTGCCACAGTGCAGAAAGGGCCTAACAGTTTGATGCTGTGCTTGCAAATTCCCTGGAGAATATATACGTTATATTGCTACAGATTTGAAAGTGAATGGTCAAAATTGTCTAGGGTGTCTGTGAAATAGATATGTCAATTGCCAGCCACAATCTGTTGATTTGCTAGTTTCTAAAGATGTTTCACCTTCTCTTCTTTGTACCTGGAATGGAAGGAACCCTCAGTCCCTATGACCTTTTTTCGGGTCTTTGGTATACTGCAGCATAAATTCCCACTACTGTGGAAATTTAGCTTTTACCGAGGAAATGTGTGGTCTGCTTTGGTTTGTGGTCTTTCATGATTTTTTATGAATATAAGACAAGAAGAATTAAAGTTTCTTTTTAAGTAAAAACAGTTATTTTTGTTCTCTTTAAAGACAAATTGCAAACCAAAGTCAAACAGCTCAAACCCATGACGGACAAGGGGGACACAAAAGAAAAAAAAAGTTTTAGAGATTTTATAATCCAAAATAACAGGTACATTATTATGATGGCATATATACCCTTCTTTCCTTCAATAAAGTTAAAAATTTGGTGATTAACCTACTATGACATTAATCCTGTACACTGCATGGGTCAAATGAGCTTGTCTGACAAAATTTGCTGTTCTCTCTTGGCCAAGAAATTGCTGTAGCTTGAAGATATCAGCAAATGACAACTCCCAAGCACTTGTTGTACCAGAATTAATGGACGCTCTGATTGCCGTGCAGAAGGAGTCCCTAGTGGAAAAGAAGTAATCCACCACTGTGGAATCTATTCTTCAAGACAGCCAATCACCTTCTGATTACTTCTGTTGACTGTTCTATCATCAATATCTCTGTTACGAAAAGACTCTTCCTACTTCAGTAGAAAATTATCTATATCTGATCCCAGGTTAAATTGACTCCTATGAGCTTCTTAGGAACTTTCATTCCATTCTTCTCTTACATCAGAAAATCCTTTCATCTTGACAATGTGAATATAGGACACTTAACCATTTCCCCTGGTGTTCATTTTCTTTGAATCCTCAAGTTTGTCTGACACTTCTGAGGTTTCTGCTTGTGGCCACAGAGGTCTGAAATTCAAAAGCGTCAACTCCAGAAGGCAATAAAAGTGTACTCAACAATTATTTTTCACAGAAGTTGTTTTGTGGTTTCAAAGACTAGCTCTTTGTTTGGTTTTGAGGGATTATTCTGGAGTATCATACTGTAAGTTTCTTTCCAGTCTCTCAGAGGAGCTAGCAGTCATTTGAAGCTTTACTCTATACTCACTCTCATAAGGATTCATTAAAACTTGTAAGCAGGGCTCTGGTAGACTGCACTGTGAATCATACGCTGTTTGTTACTATGTTTTGTTTATTTAAATATTAGAATGGAAGGGATCTGTTTCTCTTAACATCTTGCATGGGACAGTATATCTGTTTGACAAGGCACAAATGGGAAGAACACGCTTTAGATGGAGGTTAGGTTGTTCCTAAATCCAGTCTAGTCAAGCACATGTCACACTACAGCTTTATAAACAATGGTGGTAGGGGTTTCATGATGCAAAAAGGATTAAATTATTTAGTAGTTCAAGCAAAGGCTTTATTATTTTCATATGACTAAAAATTATTTTCATGCATCATTTTCATTTTGCCTACAAAAATGCATATGTTTGATGAAAAAATGGGTGAGACTCTTCAGAACACTTCTTTCGCATTTGCAATATAGTCCAACAGTAATACCCCCAAAAGGAGAAACAAACAAACAAACAAAATCAATAGTGAACTGTAGTTGCAAAACTATATCATAGAATCATATATCAAGAATTGAGGTGGGCGGAGAGGAACCTCATGAAGCTCAACAAAGGCAAGTGCAGGGTCCTGCACCTAGGCAGGAATAGCCCCATGCAGCAGGACAGGCTAGGGGGCTGACCTGCTGGGAAGCAGCTCTGCCGAGAAGGACCTGGCAGTCCTGGTGGACAACAAGTTAAACATGAGCCAGCAACGTGCCCTTGTGGCCAAGAAGGCCAAGGGTCTCCTGGGGTGCCTTAGGCAGAGTGTTGAGAGCAGGCCGAGGGAGGTGATCCTCCCTCTCTTCTCAGCCCTGGGGAGGCCTCACCTGGAGTACTGTGTCCAGTGCTGGGCTCCCCAGTACAAGAGAGACATGGCCCTACTGGAGAGAGTCCAGCGGAGGGCTACACAGATGATGAGGGGACGGGAGCATGTCTCCTATGAAGAAAGGCTGAGAGAGCTGGGCCTGTGTAGCCTCGAGAAGAGAAGACTGAGAGGCGAGCCCATCAACGTCTACGAGTATCTGAAGGGAGGGTGTCGAGAGGATGGGGCCAGACTCTTCTCCGTGGTGCCCAGCGACAGGACAAGAGGCAACGGGCACAAACTGAACCACAGGAAGTTCCCTCTGAACCTGAGGAAAAAACAACTTTCCTGGGAGGGTGACAGAGCACTGGACCAGGTTGCCCAGAGAGGTAGCGGAGTCTCCTTCCCTGGAGATATTCAAAACCCGCCTGGATGCGATCCTGGGAAATACGCTCTAGAGGACCCTGCCTGAGCAGGGAGGTTGGACTAGATGATCTCCAGCGGTCCCTTCCAACCTAAACGATTCTGCGATTCTGTGATTCTGTGATCACAGAATAGCTGGGGTTGGAAAGGACCTCCAATCCCCCTGCTCAAGCGGGGTCACCTAGAGCATGTTGCCCAGGACGACGGGTTATGAATATCTCCATGGATGAAGACTCCACAACCTCCATGGGCAACCTGATCCACTGTTCAGTCACCCTCAAAGTAAATTGTTTTCTTACGGTCAAGTGGAATTTCCTCAATCCTGCCACTGGCCACCACTGACAAAGAGTCTGGCCCCATCATCTTGACGGCCTTCCCATCAGCTATCTATACAAATTGATAAGATCTCCTTATTTGATAAGTCTTGAACATTAATTGATAAGTCTTCGCCTCCCCAGGCTATGCAGTTCCAGCTCTCTCAGCCTCTGCTCATGCAAGAGATGCTCCACCCCTTAAATCTGTGCAGCCTTTTGCTAGACGCAGGCCAGTAAAGCCATGTCTGTCTTGTACTGGGGAGTCCATAATTGGACAGGGCGGCCTGATGGCGCCCTAGTGTGAGGACACCTCCAGGTGTGGCCTCACCAGCGCTGAGTAGAGAGGAATATATGCATACATATATACAACTCTCTTCACAAAAAAGTATATCCACATAAAGTCTTTTTAAAAATTATTTTAAGAAATATAGCCAGAAGACTATAAAAAGGTGGATAGGAGGCAATGCTTATAAGGCAAAGGTAGATGAAGAATCAGTGAATTAGTTTTAAGAGCAAAGAAAGGGAGAGTAAATTTCAAGAGAATAAGCAATCCCAGGTACAAAGAGGAGATTTGAAGACTGCCATCAGCATTTCTCTTATTGAAACCATAAAAAACTATAACAAAAAAAAAGAGGGGGAATTTGGAAAAGTTAGTAATCCATCCATTACAGCATATAACATTCTCAACATAAATATAGGATATTTGAAATATTATACACTAATAGATAATGTAAATGCATGTATGTTTATTATTTTCCTCTAGCAACATGTTTTCCTGCAGCAACAGGCTATAAGTTACAAATTTAGCTTTAGATTGTACCTGCTTCCTAACATGACCCTTGGCCATTAGACAAACAGTTCCTATATAGCTTCCCCTCCCCAACCCCCAATTTTCTTTTTTTAACTGGCCATAGTAAACTGCCCTAGAATCTAGGATTTAAAGGAGATATATCAATCATATGTTAAACAATTCACACTAAATATTTAAGTGCTACATTCACTTGTACCACATTTTAATTTTCCTTAAAATAAAATATTTATTCTTTAATTTATGGTTTAATCAGTGATTCAACCTAATTGCATTACTTTAAAATTCTGTTCCAGCTTCTCATTCTCTGCCTCAGAATGAGTATCTCTAGCCATCTCCAGGCTGTCTTGTCCCCCTCTTAAGCTATTTCTTAAACAATGCTCAACTGTTCCACAGCACTTCGATATTTTGCTGGAAATATATTCAAATAAACCAGATTCAGAAGAGTAAACACTGTACTCCTATTAGAGTTAACACAACTATAATCTTATCATAATTCTTCTTCTTAATAACGAACTGATTGAAAAATAACAAATAGTGTTAGTTTCAATACCAATACCTTTTTGCACGGCTGCAGGGAGCTGCTGAAGCCTCCAAAGTGACATACAATCAAGTTTCATACAAAGCGTTTTCCTTCGCTGTTTCTCCTGTTCCAAAGCTTTTTCTGCCTCTTTACAATCAGCATCTAGTCGCTTAATTAGCTCAGTAACTTCCAATAGTAAAGCTGCTGTTTCTAGCTTCAAGGTTAAAGTCTTGCTGTCTTTAAAAATACATTAAACATTATTTTTTAATGGAAGCTTAAACATATGCTCTTTATTCCAGCTTCATTCTCAATACCAAGTTGGCCTGTTCACATGTAAGCCAACATGTTACTGGGCTTACTGTGCCCAGTAAGCACAACTAGTTATGCTGCTGTCTTTAAAAATACATTTAAATTATTTTTTATGAAAGCTTAAGCATATGGTCTTTACTCCAGTTTCATTCTCAATATTAAGTTGGGCTTCTTCACGTGTATCAAAGGAAGCACAGTTTGCAATACAAAATTTGCATGTTCAATAGCAGCTTCCTCCAGTTTCTTTTAAACATAGCATCCAACAGAATTTTAATAGAGACAATACAAAATTTTCATCTTTGTCTCATTATTTGGGTAAGTAATCATCCAAATAATAGCAGAAGTTCCTAATTATCTCTATTTTTTTTTTTAAAGTACTTCTTATTTCATTTTATTTTCCTACGGAAGTAGCAATGATTACATTAAAATCTTTGAAGTGCTAATAATATTCACTGTAATCTCTCAATATCTCTGTTTTACTGCTGACACACATGAACAGAAAACGTTTCATTCTGTGAAATCTGGATATCAAAAACACCTCAGATATTTATTCCCATACAAGATTCCTTGGGCTCATCATCATCCACTGTCCTGACTTGGTTATCTGATCTATAAAAAAAATGGGAATTACATAAGCTACAGACTTCCCGGCTTCAAACAACGCATCCTAATTTTAATTCCACAGTCAGTAATTCCCTGAATTATTTTGATTAAAACTGCAAGCACTGAAAGGAAGCACAACCGTTTCAGATTTGGGGTGAAATTCTTGCTGCACTGCCATCAGCAGCAATTTTATCACACAATTTGCTGTAGAAAGGATAGCCTCTAGCTAGTAGTACTTACAAAGGTTGTACATTGACTCAAAAAAAAATTATACACTACATCTCTTGAATATTTAAAAATTCATTCAAAAAAAGTGTTCTCTGAATAAAGGGGTGAACCACAAAAAACAAGGGGTCTTTATCAAGAGCATATTATGAATACCCTGTAACAGTGATGCACTTATTTGTTTTACAGAAATCCAATTAAAAAAAAAATCTAGAATTTCCAGCAACCAAACACAACTAATTTAGCTGGTTTGAATCATCTGTGAATTAAAATACAGTATGAATCTAAACATAGAAATGCAAATTATCTTCTTGCAAACAGGATAATTTAGTTATTATAATATTACTTAATATATTACTTAATATAACATTTACAACGTGCATGTCTTTCAGATTGACAATGATACACATACACACACATCATTTACATAAGGCACATACTAGGCAATTGGGAAGTGCTGTTAAAAAACGTATTAAATGAAGTAACTTTACGACTCAGATAAAGTATTATGAAACATTTTTACCTTTACAAGATACATTAGCATCTTGAAAATTCAACCTAGTGGATAATAATAACCAGATATCTTCATTAGATTCAGCACTGACCTTGTTTGTTATCCTGCAGGTAAAACCAACTGTCACTAAAAAATTCTAGACTGTGTTTAAATTGACGTTGTTAAATGAATATTACTAAATTAACCTTCTTCAGTCTTACACATTTAAATACTGCCTTAGTTAAATGGAATAATTAACTTGTTAAAAAACACTGCTAACAATACGGGAGAATTAGTCGACAATTCCTAATTAGACATTTCCCATTAAAATGCTTTTCTCATATTTCTTTACAAAAATATCTTTACACAAATATGTGAAACAAGTTTTTTAAATCTCGTACTGATGTCCATCCTCAATTTTGGCCACAAATCTAAGGATTTGCCAAAGAGAAACTGTTGTAGGTAACTTCTTACTCTCCCCAAGTTTCTTTTATCAGTTTAAGGAAAGGCATCACTTGAGGGTCAACAATGAAGAAAAAAAATTAAAGATTTTTTTGGACAAAAGAAGAAAAGATGATCAAGGCATATACTTAAACGGCCTCCAGCACAGACAAGTTTTTGAAATCTGAGAGACTCAAACGTACAGAAGAGTAGAGCATTGTCAAAATGAAATCAGGACAAATTTAACGTGGAAATGAGGGGAGAAAGAAATAGCACAAATAGTCCTAGAAGCAAAATCAATTTAAAGCAAATTGTAGCTCTTATATGAACTCAAGAAACTCCAGTCAGCCTACTGGAGTTGAGAGCAAGGGGATGAAGGACAACCACCACCCATTTATGGCCACATATGTAGCTTAAAGACCACATATAGGTCCTTCATATGCAGTTAAGACAAAAAAAAAAAAAATCACAGTCACAGTGTTTTATCACACGTATAAACACAATGTGAAAACGTGTATTTGAAAGCACTCCAGGAAAACGTTCAGTTTCCATGAAGAAATAACAGACAAAAATCCTATGCCAAGCGACCAAAAGAAACAGAACTCAAGCCTCCCTGTATCAACAGAAAATGCACCTAATCTACTGGGAATAGAATGAAAAATTCTAAACAGTAGTAGGAAATATGAGACATTGGACAAGAAGACTGGGACCTGGTCATGGAGGAGAATCCAAATCAGATAGAGAAGCAGGAGTTTGACAAACAGGAGTTACGTAAGTGGGTACACACAAAATAACTAAGTAGGTATATGTGATATGAGTACAAAAAAGGTAAAAATATACAGCGAAATATGGGGTTAATTGATCAAAAAAGCTGCGACAAGAAGCTCGCTGCATTAGATACAAAGATTAAAAGGAAGAGTTTAAACATGAGAATATAATTAAAACTATATCATAATGCAGTCTGCTTCACAAATAATTCCATTTAAAGTCATATAAATCTTATTTTGGGTCCTAAGCCTGAGTACTTAGCTTTGAAATACACTGTAGGTTCTTTAGTGTATTTCAGCCATTACGTAAAATTTAGGAAAAAATGCATGCTTTGTGCTTTAGAAATACATTTTAAATGTATAACAACTTTGCATATGTTCCAGATATTCCCAGACACATCCAGAAAAACAGTTCGTCAGCCTGTTATTTTTAATCTAGGAATTACATTCTGTGTTTATTTTAACAAGCCTCCTCTCTCATTCTATAACAACTTTAAAGTTACCTAATTGCAAACACTATAATGTGATTCAAGGCAATTTTGTAACTCAAAAATGCACAGAAGTTTTTTGAACTAATTGCAAATAACTGACAAACTACACTGAAAACACAAAAATGATGCCATTTAGTAAGAATCTAAACAGTATGCAGGATAGGAAAACCAGGGAAGAATAAAGAAAAAAATATTGATTTTTTTCCTGTCTTATTACAACATGCTATGAAGTAGTGTTTCATTCAAATTCTTTTCCTACTCTTATTTTATACTTCTTTGTCCTCTCACAAGTCTGCAGACAAGTTGAAACGAGATTAAATTTGACCTCTGCAAATTCAGAAAATTGTACACAGAAGTATTTGAAGAAGTCTACACAGATCAGAGTATGCAGAAACTTCTAGAATTTTTAAACTTCATGTTCCCAAACCAAAATTTAAAGCAATGAGAGCCTATAATAACGACTCTTAGCCATAATTAACTACATGAAAAGGGACCCGATTCTACCAGTATTAATAACCTAACAACTCTTACCCACAGAAATTCATCATTTAGGTGGATCCTGATATCTGAGATCATCTTGAATCTTTCTAAATTAAACAGTGAGTAGGAAAGACATGAGAAATTCTCCATAATCACTTTTGGCCTCCGAAGTAACTAGCTCCTGCAGATACTAAGAACATTTATTTTAGATGTATTCTAAATAAGAACTCAGTAAAGCCTACAGTTCACAGAGCAGATTTTATAGCCAGACTGACTTTGCAAATAATTACTTGACATTGAAGCAAAACTGTTTTTGTATGACTCTTACCATGGCATTTTCTCCTCCTTAAACACACGATAATACTGCAAAAGCAAAAGACAAACTCCCTTAGACATCTCAGATGATATATCCTTTTCCTGTTTCCTAACAAAAAGTGTAACAGGCCACTGCATTTTGTATCATAAGAGGGCCTAATCAGTGTAAATTAAGATATGACTGTGGCTCATGTACCTTGGATTCTTACAGTATGTATGCTGCGCTTGCTGAAATCTCAGTGCAGAGAATTTAACGCTTGTGGAAGATACTGTAGTTTATGCTACTGTTCATGATGTGCTGCTGTAACGACACTCTTGTCAGTACTGGAGCTAGACTATTTAAATATAACTTGTCTGTACAAGCAGTAATCAGATCTTCTTACTGCAGTGTAGACATATCCAGAATTTATTAACATTTGGAAAACACTCTTCTAGTAAAAGCGGATTATTTAAATGATATCAAACATGTTCGCAAATAAATTAATTGAAAGATTTTACCATACTTTAAAATAGCATATATTTTATTTTTTGTTTGTCTACCTACCAACTTTTTAGCTTCCCTTTATCTTGGTTTCTATTCACAGATAATCTATACAGGCTAGGAAATGCATGTATTGCTAGAAAAAGAACCATAGTATTATAAAATACATGGCCCTCACAAGCTATAAGAGTAATGAAATTTTTTAATCAATGAACTGTTAAATACTGTTCAAGAAAAAATGATTCCTTAAAAATTATAGAAAATAGCATAGTGATCAATTTCCCTATCTAGTCAGGATTAGTGTCAAAAAAGTATTTTTCAGACTATCCACATCATTGAGACAACTTTGTGCGTTTGAACTATCATATATTAATTACTAATCATTTACTAATATTTACGATATATTACATTATGATATTGTGGTATATGGATTTTAATAATATAGTTTGACTTGACAGAACTGAAAATAGATCAAATCACACCATGACTAATAAATGAACCTACTCGGCACTGTTTTGGAGACTGCATTCACTCAAAGCTACATTTTTATAAAAAAGTACATAGTAATCCTTTTTAAAAATATACTTGTTACCGTAAAAATAAAGAACAGTATAACACTTGGCCATTTTCAATCACAAACTTACCTGTTGAAAGTATTTCTCCATCTTTACTTCTAACTCTTGAATGTGATGAATAGCTTTGTTAATACACAGTAATGGAGTATTTACAAAAGCACAACTACGTTGCCTTGTTGTGATACACTTGTTCTTATCTGGAGAAAAGAAAAGGACAAGGAAGATGATTGCTAAACTTTACATGCAGGCTGATACCAGTGAACACATATTCTTCCCTTAATTTGGAACTTGATAAACCTTAGTCCTAAAACTGCCTAAGAGAATATAATAGCTACATTCATTAACATGCACACACTTTCCACAAAATTTTTATCGCACTTCAAAAAAATCCGAAATAAGAGCAGACAGATTCAAAAAAAAAAAAAGCATGAAAAACATGAGGGAAAATTTTCAAACCAATGCGACATGATAAAGGGGCCTAAGGTCAAAATACAATTTACTACAAGTAATTATATCTAAATAATTCCAAATTAATCGAATTTGAAAATTTTACTCTAGGCCTCAGTGGGGGTTCTGTCCAAATCACAAAAATAAACATAAAATCCAAAAAGGTGAGACTGCCAGCTTTTCAAATAGAAAAGCCCAGAGTTGAACGGAAAAGGTGACAGGGCCCTAAAGCCAACCTTAGACTGCTCTTAGGCACACAGTACTTAGTCCCAGCAAATGTATGCTTCAACTTTATGAACGGATGAAGTTCCAGAAGAGTTAACTCTCTTGTTAGGAAATTCAAACTATATGATATAAATGAACATTTTATAAGAACATGTAGATTTCACAATTGTAGTTTCTTTAAACCATAGTAGCATTATAGCTACATAAATAAATTACAGTGCCAGGTTACCAAATCTTAACTATTCAACTGTAACACCGAATGAGAATCTGACTGCGGAGATCGCTAATAAAAGGCGCAGGAATCAGAAGAAGACATGAACCCTAGCAGTAGAGCTAAGAAGAAAGTGCAAGTAGCTGTCCTACAAATATGAAATATTAAACCAATTATGGGCACAGGGACACAAAACTTTACTATGCCTTAGAGAGTCACCAGAAATAATAGTAATAATAATAGGAATTAAAAGGTAAAATAAAAGTATTACCAGATAACTTTCATATACAGTTTTTAAAGAATATTTGCGTATTGTCTTGATCCAAAAGTAAATATCTGCAGGTTATATTAGCCCCTTTTGACTTTTATGATAATTCCATGTCGTAATTTATGGTAAACAGCCTTACTGGAATGGAAATGATGGTTTGCAAAATTTTTTTGATAGAAAGCCCACTAAATTGGATATCAAAAACTGCATCTCACAGGAAGTTGCTTTGATTATTTCCAGAGCCAGCAGGCTCTGCAGGACACCACACTACACAGTCCTAACGATACATATATAGAATTTGTGCCCTTCCTGTCCTCTAAAGTACAACACAGTAGTTCAGATTTCTAAACCAACATTACTTCAACTTCACTGAAAACATTTAGCTTTTTCTATTGATATTGTTTTTATATTTTACTAAATCAACATTAATGCTGCTATAAGAATTATGTTTCGTTACATTTTCTTTACATCATTGATATAACTAAGAAGCATTACAACATCTCGATTTTTAAAAAATTCTGAAATCCTTTAATGGCATTAATTAAAAAAGAGATTCCTTTCTTACTGTTTTGATTCTCCTCAGTAAATGCAAACATCTCTACAAGCAAGTCTTCTAATGCATTTATCAACGCAAGTCAGAAACATAACTGAGAAGGTGCAATCATTCACCACTTTCTTACAATCTAAAAATTAAATTTAAATGACAAATGAAATACAGCCAATTTTGTTTTCACCAGATAGGAATTGAACTATGATTAGAGAGATGGAGTGACAGTATTAAGTCAGTGACTGATGCTCACATTCTCCGATGGTATAATTGCTAAGAAGGATCTCAGTTGCATGCCAGAAACAAGAACCAAGAAAGATGACTAGTATTAGACACTGCTACAAATATAAAACAATTACTTATATCTTCTATTTAAGCCTTCATTAAACTACTTCAAAGCTATGTAAGAGAACTCACATCAGACATACCTTGGGATGGCTCATTGGTGTCCTTAGAAGAACAGAGAAGCGACCGTGCTTCAAACATTATTGCCAATAGTACTTTCCAACCTAATAATAAACATATATACATATATATTTATTTTAAAAACTCTTATTTTCATCAGCAGAAAGCTTATTACATTAGTGATATATCTACAGTTTTTTTTAAAGGTTGCCAAGAGTCTGTTTTCACATCTGCTGTTAAGACATACCCCTATTAAACACCTGTGGTATTACAAATCACAGAGTGAAATTTATTTAAGTAATGAAATTACAATTTAAAAAATCAAATAAAAACCAGAACTGACAAATTTCCACATATGTGGCCTGACTTTTTAAATTATACAGGCTATTTTGGATCCCACCATGACAACAGTAACTAACACTAATTTTAAAGATGTGAAAAACAAAATGGATAACCTATTATATGAATTTTAATTAAGAAATACTCAATGAAAGGGAGAACAATAAATATGTAGTCTGAAACATTGTTGTCTCGACAGATAAAGACATGTAAAGTGAAGGAAATGGTCTACTTTATCTTATATAAACTTATAACTGACTGAAAACTTAGATAGTTAATCCCGGAGATATCCAGTTGAGGTAACTTATGAGAATATTTCAACACACTTGGAGCTCATACTAAGGACAAATAACTGTATTGCCATATGGAGACTTCACAGTAAATCATCATGGTTTCTAAATACCATCAACCTACAAAACTGACTATTAAAAAAAAAAAAAACAAACTACAGTCTTCATCAACATAAAACACTGGAAACCAATACTGTATAGATTTTAGCATTCCTCTACTCCTGTAAGACTATTAAAAATACAGACGTACTTATTTCAAATTATTTGAAATGGAAAATAGTTGCCTGAGAGTATAACTGGTTCCATGGACACAGAAAATAAAACAAGAGCAAGACCAAGGTTTGTTCTTCACACTTTACATGTCTTCATTTGCTCATCTATCAAACTCCAGACCAAGCCTGTTCAAAAAAAAGTTAGAAGAATGTAAGCGAACCAAGCTTGCCAAAAGAAATGGCAAATTCATGGCTGATTATCTATACGAACTTCAATGGGGGGCAATGCAGAAAGTATTGCTGTCCTGTGTTACTATAACAAATTAACTAACTTAGCCTGAACAACATCAACAATAGCTTTCAAATTAAAGCTATGGAACAAATTTTTTTTTTAATAAAGTTCATAATACATACAATAAACAGTTTCAAGACATCACATTTTCACCTATGCATCTCATATTACAAAATGTATGCACAAATGTCTTGCTGTGACAAAGACAACCACAACATTATTTGTATTGCCACAATATACCTTTCTAAAGTCACTGTATGCTACTCCATAAATAAAAGGAAAAATAAAAAGCATTGTGAATGCTGCATCAGATATATAAATGTGTAAAAAGTGTCTTTATCATATTTCATACTTTATTAAATACTTCTGAAGTTAAAAGTACACACATAAAACTTCTTAATTAATTTCTTGGCATTTTAAATTACTATAACAGAAATAATTTGGCATTATAGCTGATAAAGCCAAATTTTAAAATGTCAAAAACTTAAATAGAAGGGTCAGAAACTAACAACATTTTTGTTAAAAGTAAAATCCTCAGAAAAACATGATGTAAATTAAAGCAAAATTTTTCAATGTAAGAGATTAGAATCTAGACATTAAAATTACTATCCACATAACATAAACTACAACTTTTCATGATAAATACCATTCCCTAGGCAGAGTCTTGGGATATTTTACAATTCATAAATATGCTCCATAAAAAGACTACTCCATAAAAACCTTTTTCTTATCAACTTCCATACTTAGCACTTCACCAAAACTATAACTCATTATTAAGTAAATTTAGTGCAAATCCAGATACCCTACCTCAGATTATAGCACATTACGGCCAAATTGTGGAAGAATTTTCCTTAAAACGTTTTCAGTGGTTCCTGCTTCATTGTGACCACGCTACTTGCGTTGTGAATTTTTCCTCCTTAACCAAAATGCAGTCACATAACTAAAAATTACAAACTAATACATATTTAAAAGGAGTTAAAATTCCGTGAAGAAACTTCATTTTATTTCCATCATTCCCTGACTTCTGAATGCTAACTTTCTGCAAACGGAGCATGCTACCACTTTATGTTGGGTCCTAGGATTTCTGTACACTTTTTTCCTTGTCCTCAAGTGATGCAGTGAATCCTTCTGAGCACTGAAATGGAGCCCAGATTTACTTTAGAACATGCAGGAAGGTATTAATGTCCCTAAGATTATTCCCTCAAATTACAGTTAGTGCAGATGTTTTAAAATACTACACAATGTTATAAAAATATGGTGGTTTATAAAAAAAAAAAAGTTTACAGCATTAAAATGTGTTATAATGAAAATCAGGTCTCAAACTTGAAATCAAGACTTAATGTAGTATCACGGCAGCCTGCACAGGCAGGTTAAAATAAACAATCAACTCTTGACAAAAAGATTGGGATTTTCTAATTGTAAACATTAAGTGCAACAAAAGACAGGAAAAATTCATTAGGTTATTTTATCCCTTTCACAGGAACAAGATTCCTATACAAGAACTAGTCCTTCATATTGGCTATCTGAAGCTTTAAGAGAGGACTCGAGATCACCCCTACCTATGCCTACTCTGTTCCAATGTATTCTCATGAACTTCTAGTAGTGTCCAAAACTAAACGTTTTATAGCTGTGAGTATATTACTATCATATAAATACTCGAAATATGTATATCCCAAATTATTTGCCTTTTTGAAAACGGTATGTTCAGCTCGCAATATACTTCAACCTCGGATTGTTTTCTGTAGCACTGATACATAAACAGTTGTTTTATGCACTGTATTGATACAGGTGTCCACCCTTACTTAAGTATAGCAATTTACATGTCTCCTTTTCTGATTGCATCTGAATTTTCCAGGTTATTTCTCCTATTTATCAAAATCGATTTGAATTTTTATGAAGCATTCCAAAATTCACGTGACTCATCCCCAGTCAGATAGTATGCAAATGAAATAAACTTAACCACTATTCTTTTACCACAAACCTTAGTGCAAATATCAACTTTAAAGAGAGAAACAGACAATTAATTAGGATGGAAACCTGGGACACCGGAAATCTCTAACATATAAGGGAATTAAATCCAGGTATTCCATGCAGTAGCTATAAACGTACTGTATGAATGTATGAATGTGTATGAATGTTCTGTACTTCTCTGTCTATATTCTTGAGTTCACGAAAGGGGAATAATAATCCTACCAAGTAATTCTGAGAAAATAAATACCTTGGTAGATTAAGAGCTGCTCACATTCTGTGACAGGTGATTACACAAAATATTTACAACAATTTTGACTAAAAGCGCTAATCATTTTACTATTTCAGTTTCCCTCCTCACACATCCCAAGCCAGAAATAAAACAATAGGAGGATTATTCTCTTCCTTACTCCTGTGAGGTCAAACAGACCAGACAGTAGTAGGAACAATCTCCCTGTTCAAGCAAAAAACTAATTCAATTCAACTGTTAGAAATGAGCAGCCAAAATTCTATTACTAGAAGAATGGTCCAAATATGTTTTAAATGTGATTACTACCAATGTTCATGCTAGTAAGCATTTTACGTATTTGAACTGTCCCCCTACACATAATTAAAATATCATGTACTTTAGCGTAATATTTTTGCAGAGATTATTAAATCCTAAACCTACCATTTTCCAATCTCTTGTATATGTCTAAATGAAATACAGTGAATATTGGTTGCCATAGTAACCACAGAACTGAAGAAATTTAGTTTTGGCATAATTGCCCCATATGTTTGTACAAATTACATCTCTTATTCTGAGTACTGGAAATGAAGATACATTTGAACTCCATTTTAAAAAATAATGAAGAAACAAAATATTAGATCAAGTATTTATAGGTATAATAGAACATATTATTGTTTAATTCATTCATTCACTTTTTTGTTATAACTAATTGGAGAATATTTTCTTCTATTGTATTAAACTATTTGGCTAAAAACCATTTAAGTTATGTTTTTACTTACTTTATTGATCATTAAGCCATTTTTGTTTTTATCATTAAACTCAAGACATTATTTTTAAATAATATATCATTAGTCAAACATTCAGAAATGGCTAAAGCAACTTCATCAAAAACAACCCCCTAACAACCTGTGACAAACTTCTGTTTCTTTTCATTTGCATGAGGTTCACAATGAATAAGTATAAATTTATTTTTTTCTTTGGTTTCAAGAAACAGTAAAAAAGGAAAAAGCACTCCAGGCATCCTGACACTCACTTATAATCCTACAAGAGCATAATCTTCTCAGCAGCATTAAAAAAATACGCATTCAGTAGGAACAAATTAACTCAATTCAACCAGCCTAAGAATTAGATACAAACTCCTCTTCCCTTCTCATCAGCTCCCTGAATGAATCTCAAGCATCTCAAAAAAAAAAAAAAAGAAACCCCAAACAAAGAAAAAAGAACCAACCCCACAGGTCAAATGAGCAGTAGGATGGCTGGACTTCTATGGTTTTACTTCAACACTAGAATTCTTTCATCCTTTCCCTTCCCTAACTTTATTTGCTTAATAACTTAACTCTGATTCAGTCGTTGCAGGAGTACCTTGTATCCTTCTAGCCTTGGGACCCACCAACCTCTTGACCATCAGTAGTAATTAGCATAGTTGATTTTAATACGCAGATGTATAACCATCAGAATTTCAGAAAGAGCTCAGGAAGACATAACAGATAAATAGCAGGAAGACATAACAGATAAATAGACAAATAAAGCTTAGGAAAAAAAAAACACTGATAGACCATCTCTACTTGAAAGCTTTAAGTTTTGGAAACTTAAAGCATTTTCTTAAACTTCCACATACATTGCACAAAACTGTGTAGCTGTAGGCCAATACATTGCAACAAAAAGATGCCAAACAAACATCCAAGATGATCTTTTGCACACAGTATCATGCTTCTAGCTGGAAGCACCAACAGCATCATCTTTACATTAGCTTCTCTCTCCAGGTCATCTTGGATAGTAGATACCCTGGTATCTACTGTGTTAATGCTTTAAGCATTAACAGAGCAAGATCTTAATGAACTTGTGGAACCGATATACCCGTATTTTGACAGATATTAGTTTTTTCAAAAAAATTATGATAAGACAGGAAAAAAGGATGAGTAAAAGATCGTACTATTACGTAGAATTATTATTATTTAATATCTGATGGACTCATGATGCAAAGAACATGGAGAAAAGCAACCATGAACATCATACAGCAAAAAAAACTCAGAAAGCAGTTTCCATGAGCATCAAAAGCAGTAAAGTCTAGTTTCCCATGGATTTTTGTGCACCATTCCTTCATCCACCCTCACAGAAATTCCAGCTCCCCTAAGTGTCACAGAGCAGGCTGATGAGCCCAGTTCCTTCAGCATCCCGCTCTGGGCACACGTATGTGCTGGGAGGGGTTGGTGCAGTGCAGCCACTGACCAGCCAACCCAGCAGACACGTTCTAACTCCTTTCTTTCAACTGAGGAACTAATTTGGGTCTTTCTTTCCCCTACTTAACTGCCAGTTTTCATGAAACCTGGGGGAACTTATCATCTTTGAAACTTCTATCCTTCTGTAAAACCTGGCTGAAACTGGAAATATGTTCAGAAGTTACTGGAAGACAGGCACTAGTAGACCATACATGGTGATAGGGTACACCCTGTTTCCTTAGATATAACAAGAAAAACTCAAAGGGCAGGCAACCTAAAGTGACTATCTTCATTTATTTTGCAATTCTTCTATCAAACTACATTTTGTAGGAATCTTAAACTTGGCTATTTTAGAAGTAATACGGGTGAAGAAGAGAAGAACACAGTATCTTGCATATACCAAAAAATAAAGAACAACATAAAGAAGACAAAAATGCAAAGAAAATGAAAGAACAAAGCAATGAAGGTGCTGGCAATGGTAAAGTAAAGCAGGACTGAACAGAGTTTGCAAGGCAAAGCTGGAAAACATAATTATGCAGTATGCAAAAGGAGCCAGTAAAAAGATGCAAAGACGATGAAGTAAGGCATAACAGTTAAATAAATTTTAAAAAAAAAAAAGAGAGAGACAGAAAAAACCTAGCTAGTAAAACTGGAATGGGACAATATAAGTAAAAATAAGATAGGTTCTGTATCTGTAAAATTAAAAAAAGAAAACTGGTATTTAATTAA